TTATCACTATAGCTTAATTTAAAAAAAAAAATGTTGTCAACTGGTAGAGCAAGTCTTTCATCTCATTCTTCTTCAGGAGTATGCTGTTTGAAGTTGGACCATGGCTTATCAATGCAGTTTTAGAATTAACTTTTCAAGTCCCCCCAAAGAAACTTAAGGAAATTAAAATTGTTTGATCTGTAACATCAACTTGGGGAAGACTGACATCTTTACAATATTGATGCTTCCAATAAACAAACATGGTGTACCAATGTGTTTAGTCTTTTTTTAATGTATTTCAATAAAATTTTATAATATTCTTCACAAAGACCATGCACTGGAGACTCCTTACATTTCCCAATGCTCTTGTATATGGCATCTTTACAAAAGTACATTTTATTTGCTAATTGCTTGCAATTGACACTTAAATATTAACATTATTCCCAGCAACTCTTAATTATTATCTGTGTTCTTTTATGTTTGCTATATAATCACATCATTTGTGAGTAACGTTCTTCCCAATCTTTTTTTCTAGTTTTGTCTTTTTTTTCTTTTTTTTTATTTCAGCATAATATGGGGGTACAAATGTTAAGGTTACATACATTGCTCTTGCCTTCCCTCTCCCCTCGAGTCAGAACTTCAAGCGTGTCCATCCCCCAACAATGCACATCGAACTTATAAAGTATATATATACCCATCCCCTCCCCTACTACCTGCCCAACACCCAATGAATGTTTTCTTTTTAACATTTTGGTTAGATTTTATAACTTTGCCTTTACCTAGCAAAGGTTAGAGATATGTCTTTCCCCTCCACACTGTTCACATCCCTCAGATGTGGGTCTACCCCCCCAACCCCGAATCTCTCGTGAACACCACAACCCTTTGAGCACCATATTGACAATCGGTCAGTATCAATTTGACAGCGAGTACATGTAGAGCCCATTTTTCTGATCTTGTGTCACCTCACTTTGGATGATGGGCTTAAGCTCAATCCAGGATAATATAAGCGATGCTAGCTCACTTAGTTTCTTAGAATTGAGTAATATTCCATTGTAAACATATACCAAATTTTAATAATCCACTCATCAATTGACGGGCATTTAGGTTGTTTCCACGTCCTTGCAATAATGAATTGTGCTGCCATAAACATTCGGGTGCAGATGTCTTTATAATAGAATGTCTTATGCTCCTTTGGGTAGATGCCTAATAATGCTATTGCTGGGTCAAATGGTATTTCTGTTTTTAGCTGTTTGAGGAATCTCCAAATTCTTTTCCACAAAGGTTGCACTAATTTGCAGTCCCACCAGCAGTGTAAGAGTGTTCCTGTCTCTCTACATCCTCACCAGCATTTGTTGTTTTGGGATTTCTTGATACAGGCCAATCTCACTGGGGGTAGGTGATATCTCATTGTGGTTTTGATCTGCATTTCTCTAATGTTTACAGATGTTGAGCATTTTTTTATATGTTTGCTGGCCATTATTCTGTCTTGTTGAGAAAAGTTTCTGTTCATTTCCATTGCCCATTTCTTGATGGGGTTGTTTGATTTTTTCTTGTCCTAGATAGATTCTTGTTACTAGACCTTTATCAGAAGTGTAGAGAACAAATATTTTCTCCCATTCTGTAGGTTGTCTATTCACTCTAATGATAGTATCTTTGGCTGAGCAGAAACTTTTTACCTTGATCAGATCCCACGTGTTTATTTTTGTTGCTGTGGTGATTGCTTTGGGGGTCTTCAAAAATTCTTTGCCTAGGCCAATGTCAGAAAGTGTTTTCCCAACATCTTCTGGGATTCTTAGGGTTTCATGCCTTAGATTTAAGTCTATTATCCATCTTGAGTGGATTTTTGTGAAAAGTGAGAGGTAGGGATCCTGATTCATTCTTCTGCATGTAGATATCCAGTTTTCCCAGCACCATTTACTGAAGATAGATTCTTTTCCCCAATGTATATTTTTGTCTGCTTTCTCAAAGATTAGGTTACCATATGCAGATGGTTTCATCTCTGGAATCTCAGACGTATTCAAAATATCAATGCTTCTGTTCTTGTGCCAGTACCAGGCTGATTTAATTATTATTGCTTTATAGTACAGCTTGAAGTCAGGAAGACTAATGCCTCCCAGTTTGTTCTTTTTACTTAAGATTTCTTTGGCTATACGTGGCTTTTTCTGGTTCCATACAAAGTGAAGAATTATTTTTTCTATATCTGTGAAGAATGATGGTGGTACTTTGATGGGGATTGCATTAATTCTGTAGATGACATTAGTAATATTGACATTTTAGTGATATTGATTCTACCAATCCATGAACAAGGTAGATTTTTCCATCTGTTTATATCTTCTACAATTTCTTTTTTTAGCATTTCATAGTTCTCCTTGTATAAGTCTTTCGTATCTTTCGTTAGATATATTCCTAGATATTTAATTTTCTTTGGGGCTATAGTAAAAGGAATTGCGTTTTTGATTTGAGCTTTGGTTTGACGGTTCTTGGCATATATGAATGCCTCTGATTTGTGTATATTGATTTTGTAACCTGAGACTTTACCAAATTCATTTATCAAATCTAGGAGTCTCTTGGAGGAATCCATGGGGTTCTCTAGGTATAATATCATATCATCTGCATTAATCAAGTGAAATTACACCGTAATTTTGTTTAATCATGAAGATGTTCTATAGCAAATCTTGTTAACAAGAGCCATTTAAAGAGTTTTAATCAGTCTCACTCAATCCCAAACAAGGTAGAGTTACAATATTTGCAACAAGACGGGGTTGGGGGACGGGGGGGAGAGGAGGGGAGGCTCAAGATGTCTGAGACAGGCAGCCCAAGTGTCCTGCATCTGTTGCTTTGCAAGCTGTGTCCACTCTGTTTGCCTCTTCTGTCATTCAGACTTGCCAGCTTTCACATCCATCACCATGTCAAATTATCTTACACATAACAAAGTCATTTCAGCAGGTCTTAAGGCATACATGTGTGTATGGGTGGGCCATGAAGGTGGGATCCTGTGACTGGGTGGCATTCACCCTGCTGCAGGTAGGCGCTCCCTTTGGATTTCATTTTTAAAAGAAGAATCATCCCTTATATGTCTCTGTCTCCCAGAAGAGGCTATAGTCCAATCAAATCCTGTAAGAGATTCCTGCAAGGAGGGGCTATCCCAGAATGCAGTGCTGGATGTATTCCTCCAGACTGAGTGTCCAGCCCAGCTCACTCCCCTGAATTTTACAATTTCAGGCATCCATTCACCTTTCTATCTATCATCAGCAAAGAAGAAAAACCCCCAAACTGGTTTAAATAAGGAAACATTATCAAATTGTCACTTAGAGGTCCCACCAGAATCTTTAAATGAACATGTCTAACTAAATGTCCTCAAGAGATAGCCTGCACTGTGCAGAGTGGTACAAAGGGTGGATTCTGGCTGGTCTGTCTGGGTTTGAAATCCTGGTCCTGTCTCCTGTTAACTGTGGGACCTAGGGAAAGTATCTTAACCCCATTGGTGCCTCCATCTACAAAATGAGGATAATGCTGATCCCTCTTTCATAAGGTCTTTGTGAGGACTGTACGAGTAGATGATGGTCACCTGCCTAGAATAGTGCCTGGCACATGGTGAGTACTGCATGGATTTGATTGTTTCCCTACTCACTAAAAGCCCCTCTACACCCAAATCTGGTCCTCCTCCTGGACTTTCCACCTCAGCCAATGGCATCACTCTGACACCAGGATGGGCTACACGCCCAGTGTCCTGTACTTCTTTCTTCTATTAGGTTATTAAGTATGGAATCTCCGATTTCCTTAAGTACTAAGTTTGACATTTGATATCATTGACATTCACTTTGACACTTTTTTATTATTATTATTATCATGAAGGTACATCCTCATTCTTTCAAATCCAAGTTTTGGCTTGTGATTATCTTTCAAATTTTTTTTCAGAGGAACTTTTGTGGAACCATGGATAAGTCAAAGATTCGTGTTATTTTTGAATATGAGTTCTGACATGGAACCAATGCAGTACAGATAGCCTGAAATATCAACAAAGCATTTGGGAAGGATGCAGTTAATGAACCCACAGTACATGATGGTTTCAGAAGTTCTGTTCTGGGGATTTTAATCTTGAAAATGAGCCATGTGGGTGACCTGAGACCAAGGTGGATGATGACCTGAAAGCTGTAGTGGAAGCGAATCCATCTCAACCTATGCACAAATTAGCAGCAAGGTTTAATGTTATTATTCCAACAATATTGGACCATTTGAAACAAATAGGCAAAGAAGCTGGATAGATGTGTACCACAAGAATTACACAAGAGTCAGAAGAGAAACTGTCTTGAAGCCTTGTCTTTCTTTGCTGTCATGACATAAAGGTGAACATTTTGCACACCGTATTGTTGTATGTGATGAAAAATGGATTCTTTTTGACAATTGCAAGCATTTGGCACAACAGTTGGATGACGATGAAGTGTTGAATGATTGGATAATGATGAAGTGCTGAAACACAATCCAATTTTATATTCATCAAAATAAGCTAATGGTGTCTGGTGGTCCAGCGCTGGAATTATCCACACAGCTTCATGGGCCAGCTGATTACAACAGATGTCTACTGCAACCAATTGGATGAAATGATGAGGATGCTTGTGATTACTCGGCCGAGATTGGTCAATAGAGACCGGCCAATCCTCTTGCAAGACCACAAGTTGCAAAAAACACTGCTCAAACTACAGCAGCTAGACTTGGAAACTCTCCATCATCCATCCTATTCACCAGACCTTGCACCAACTGACTACCATTTCTTCCGTGCTTTGGACCACTTTTTGCATGGAAAAATATTCCATTCTTAACAAGCTGTGGAAAATGAAAATGCCTTTTGTGATTTCATCGCCACTCACACTCCAGGCTTTGCTGCTGGCATAAACAAGCTACTGTTATGATGGTAAAACTGTGTCAATAGTTTAGGTACATATTTTGACTAAGGTACTGCTTCTTGTTTGAGATATAATAAACTAAACTTTTGGTTCGAAATCAGACATTTCATATTTAATAACCTAATACTATTTATGACAAAACCAGTTTAAAACAATTTAAAATAACTAGTTAATGATGCAATTAAAATTGTCTTGTACTTAGGATCCAGTTACCCTGCAGGGGGAAGCCTCCCACCTGTTACCTAGTCTGCTGTGCTGCCAGGGGAAGCAAAAGGACAATACTTCCGTACTCAGACTAGGATCTCCTTTACTTAACAAGGAGCTATTAATTAAGGATCCTCATTAAGGCCTGTAAGCAAAATTAAACAGTATTTATTTGATGAAAATATACGTTTATATTCACTCTTTTTAAGATTAATTACTAAGGTTTCATGTACTTTTTATGTCCCAGTTCCTTCCTCAAATTTAATGAGACATAGGTTAAAAACTTTAAGGACTGTGGGAGCAGTGGTAAGATTTAACTTCTACTTGCAGTAGAAGGTCATATAACACAAAGCTAAGAGTAAAGAGTTGACCATGTATTTGGAGACAAAGGCAAGAATGTGTGGTTTAGTAAGGATTAGGCTTAACCGCAAAACACAAATAAGTGGCTTAAACAAAGCAGAGGTTTATTTGTGTCTCCCAAAGCAGTCTGTAGGCAGACTGTCCAGGCCTGGAATGGTGGTGGTTCCACAGATCGCCGCTTCTTCTATCTTCCATCCTAAAGATCGCCTCCTGGTCCAACATGGTGAGTGGAGATTCAACCATGAAATGGCCACATTTCAGACAAGAAAGAAAAAGCTGGGAGATGAGGGTCTGGAGAAGCAAAAGAGACAAGCTTTTGGCCCAACAGTTAGCTCATGTAAAAACTTTCCTGGAAGCATCACCAAATGACTTCTATCGATAGCCTCTTGACGACACCTAACTACAAAGAACAGGAATATAGTATTTGAGTTGTACACACTGTGTCACCTACAGTAACATAGGGGTTCTATTAACATAGAAGGGATAATGGATACTGGGTAATACATTAATCATGTTTTTATGTTCTGTATTTTATGGAGCTTTGATCCTTGGTATCGTCCAGATTCAGAGAGGGGCTTCCCCTCCCAAGGTTAGCCAATTCCTAGAGTTAGCAAACAAATTGCCCGAGAACATGCCTTGATAGCAAACTAGGCAATCCTGAGTCCATTTCCCCAACCCACCTCTTTTTCTCAGGTTCCTGCAGTCTAGGACACTATGCCCCAGCTTTCCATTGCCCCAAGGCCAGGTACTCACCAACTAGGGTCCTTCCCCAGGGCCCAGAGCCTGCTGAAATTATTCAAACTACCCAATCCTAAACTTGCTCAGCTTGCCTATTGTGCCTTACTCATTCCTTCCCATGTAAAACACAACAAAGGTTTTGGCTCATTCTAGTTTCCCCTTGTTCCTTCTGCCTCCTGACCAACTCTGGTGCTTTCCTGCATAGCCCTGCATGGCATGTCATGCCCCTCCTTTTGGGAACTATAATAAAAAACTCTTCTTTCAAAAGCAGTTGTCTTCATGTCTGTCATCTTACCATACATAATTAAAACAAGTCCCAGGTACATACTAATACAAGTGGGCAACTGGAAATCTTTTCCACAACATTGTTTTCCACAACAGAAAGCTGGAATCCTGTCGACATTTAAAAGTTATCTCACAGCCAGGTGCGGTGGCTCACGCCTATAATCCTAGCACTCTAGGAGGCTGAGGTGGGAGGATTGCTTGAGCTCAGGAGTTTGAGACCAGCCTGAGCAAGGGTGAGACTCCATCTCTACTATAAGCAGAAAGAAAATTAGCCAAACAACTAAAAATAGAAAAAATTAGCCAGGCACGATGGCACATGCCTGTAGTCCCAGCTACTTGGGAGGCCAAGGCAAGAGGAGCCCAGGAGTTTGAGGTTGCTGTGAGCTAGGCTGATGCCATGGCACTCTAGCCCAGGCTACAGAATGAGACTGTCTCAAAAAAAAGAAAAAAAAAAAAAGTTATCTCATAAAACTTGTTCATGTATAATGTGTTTGGCAGAAGGAAAAAAAAATCATTCCTGTCTCGACTTCTCTTCTGAGAAAACCAACACCCTGCCAAGTATCAGCTGAAAAGTCCACAAATAAACCGTGTTCAAAACTAAATTCATTATCTTTCCTGCCTCAAATCTGCTCCCACTCTGCATTCTATAAACTCAGGAACAAAATGCCACTATCCACATGTTCCCAAGCAAGAACCTCAGAACCACCTTTGAACTGCTTTTAACCCTCACCAAGACTGTGTCATTACCACTAGATCCTGGCAGGAGCTATAACTGATTCTTCTCTAACCCAGAGCCTGGCACAGGATCTGGCACAAAATTGTTACACAATTATTAATAATATCTGTTGAATCAATTTGAATTCCAAATGCCCCTCAAGTCACCTGCCAAACCCATTCTACTAACTTTCTAGGCTTATTGCAGAACCTTCCTAATCACCTCTAGGCTTTCCCCCTTCTAACCCCTCACTCTGTCTTTGCTGTTATCTTTCTAAAGCACAATTCTGAAAAGATGTCCCTGTTTTTCAAAGCTTCTATGGCTCCTCATTGCCAAAGTTCTCTGCAAGCTTTCGAGGCCATTTACAATCTAACCCAAACCCACTTTTCATATCTAATTTTCCATTATTTCATAAACTTTTACATTTCTGGATCTTTGCTCATGCGGATTTCTCTGCTGTGCTACCCCTCATACCCCATCAAATTTAGCTGCATAGGCTTCTGCTTACCCTCCCCACTCAACTCCATGATCCAAATTGTGAGTTCCCTCAACACAGGAGTCCTCTTATATTCACCCCTATATCCAAGTGCTGTCTGGGTGCCTGGCCTATAGCAGGTGCCAAACTGACTTTGGATTTTCAAAAGTTATCCAGATTAACTGTAAATAGCCAAGGAAGATTAAAAACCAAAAAAACCCACCAATGTGGAGTGTTTAATGATCCATGAAAGTTAATGACAACAAAAAAAGTCAAGTACAATAAACTATTCCAAGATTAATATGCTCATATAAATATCACACAAGGCACGGCACAGTGGCTCATGCCTGTAATTCCAGTGCTTTGGGAGGCTGAGGTAGAAGGATCACTTGAGGCCAGGAGTTTGAGACCAGCCTAGGCAACATAGCAAGACCTTGTTTCTATAAAAAAAAATTAAAAAATTAACCAGGCATGGTGGTGCACACCCATAGTCTCAGCTACTCAGGAGGTTGAGGAAGGAGGATCACTTGTGCTAAGAATTCAAGGCTGCAATGAGCTATGATCACGCCACTGCACTTCAACCTGGGTGACAGAGCAAGACCTTGCCTCTAAACAAGAGGGAAAAAAAACATACAAGATTTGGTAAGGTGGGCCTAGTGACTAAAAGAATGTGTTGTTTAAAATAATAGCTACAATGATAGCCAATATGTATCGGGCACTTGTTTCAGTTACTATGTATGAAATAGGTTACATAAATTATTAATTGTGCCCTTCACAGCAGGCCTACAAAGTAGGTACTACTATTATCCCTGTTTTACACAAAGGAAAACAAAACAACAAAAATCTGAGGCAGATAAATAACTCATCAGAGGTCACTCAGCTGGTGAGCGAAGCAGGGATTCAAACCCAAACTATCTGACTACATAGCCTTAACGCTGAACTATCATTATAGACCAGCTTTTTTTTTCAAATGACAGATAGGGCAAAGAAACTAAATGTCCAGATGTATGCCAATATGGCAAAACCAGTCCCTGACATCCAAAACATAGCAGAGAGCAGATGAATGAAGAATAAAGAGACAAAAAGGGAAGTTTCATTATCATGGCTGCATGATACTGACAACCTAAAAAGCTACACACCATCCTAGTACAGACTGCAGGGCTGGCACAGAGGCAAATTATAGTAGGAAGGGGAGACTTCAGGGCTGCTGCTGCTGCCTGCCAAAAGTCTCATTCTCTAAAAAGTGGGCCTGACAAATTCTTATACATTCTTGACAATTTCAATAGTCAGTAAGTAGAGGAAACAATGAAAGGAACAGACATTCTGAATTTATTCTAAACAGTAGAGACGCTGCTTTAAAGAAGCAAGAGGAATATGAGTCAGATAACCTGGTAGAGAAATTAAGTGCAACTCATTTCCCCATAGGATCATCAGGCTGAGAATGAGAAAGAGTAAAAGGTAGAGGTATTTCTCTTTTGCTTATTGTAACTCTCCTCACAACCAAAACATATATTTATTAAACACCCAGTGTGATTCAGATGGGGCACAGAGTACGAATGCAAGTGGAAGCAGACAGTTGGCAGAAAATGAAATGCAAACCTCATATACCTGAGCTCAAACTCCAGGTTTGCATCTTATAAGCTACATGAATTTGACAAGTTACCACGTTTCCTCACCTGTAAAAGGGGGATATAGTACCTTCTTCTTAGCATAACAGTTAAATGAGACAATGATAAAAAGTACTTAGCTTAGTGCCTGGCACATAGTAATCAAGAAATTAAATGACTGAAAAGAAATGTCAGTCATTAATACGATTATTGTTATCTCTTAAGAGATTTCCCTATAACTCATTAACCTCAGCATTATCTCTATTTTCTATGATAATTTTCTTGCTGTTACTACCACAAATCTTCACAGCATATAATGAAAACCCTGACAGAAAAATAAGTGATCCTGCCCTCATTTTCATGTCAGTGCTTCAGTCCCATCAGAATAAACAATAAACATTTATAAAGTCCACTAATGTTGCTGTGCTAGGCTGAGCTGGACAGTGGCAAAAAGGTAGTTGGAATAAAAGATAAACCTGCCTTCAAGAACTGTATGATCTCTTAGGAACAAAGAGAAATTACCATTAATTTCTCCAAACTGAGCTGTAAGGGTTAGGCTGTAACCCAGTTGACAACAAGTAATTCCCAAAGAAATGTATACTCTATTCCCAAAACAGCCATAAAAACATGTTTTCGCACATCTTTGGATTAACTATCCAGTGCTTTTTGAGAAATAGATGACTCTTTGAAAACTGTAATGGAAGCAAACAGTGGATCTCATACACATTGGTCTCTAATGTTAGTTGTTCTGGGCTGTGTACATGTATTAGGAGGTAAATGAACATACCAGTATGAAATGCTAAAATGTAGATGGTGGGGAAAAATATATGAAAGATTTTCTTGTTCACATCCAGTACATGAAGTAGTACTAGCTGAAGGTGAATGAATAGAGGAAGCCTGGCTCGGAAATAATAGAAAGATTTATTTTCCCAAAATGAAAACAGTTTTATTTATTTTTTCTTACGTAAAAGTAATACATGCTCAATGCTTTAAGAAAAAAATCAGAATAAACAAAGGCATAAGGAAATAAGGAAAATCACATATAATACCCCTAACCAGAGATAATCATGACATTTTGATGTTTCTCCTTTCAGACTTTTCTAAGCATATACTTACATTAGTTGTAACTTTTTTCAAAAATGGGATAATACCACACATGCTAGTTGATACTTTTTTTCCTGCTTTTCTATGCATCACATTCATCTTTGCATTTGGATATGAAATCCCCAAATCAAAGTCACAGGGCGGTTTTCTGCAGGTTTATTTCTTAACACCATTACAACATTTCAAAAAGGGAAATGCAGGACCCACAACTTAGAAGACATAGGCTGGCCCAGAGGCCAAACTAGAGACAGACTGGCCTAAATAGAATGAGGGACTTCTACCATTTGAACAAAACAACCTACTGAGTAGCAGTTAACCTCTGGAAAACTGCAGCAAATTAGCAAGCAGATCTGGGGAGGACTGATATAAACCTTAAAAAGCAAAAGATGCATTGAAAAACTGAGTTCATTTTAGGTAATCTTTATTGGTAAATTATCAGTATTCTAAAATTTCCTCTTATAATAAAATATCACATAATGATCTGTGTGTGTATGTGCATCAAGAGACCACATGGAAAAATAAAAGGAAAAAGCAATACCTGAGGCTCTAAGGTGAGGTACTGTCAAAGGTTGTTAAAAGAGGGCCTTTCCACCCTCCCCAAGAGTTCTGGATAAGTCTTTAAAAGGATAGAGAAGAGGCACTTAGAAAGATAAAGAATAACAGAACCAAAGTCCCTGTGGCATGATCTAAAGATGAACTATTAATGTTTCACCTCATTATATTTCAGGTCCTTATACTGCTGGCAAACTATGTTTCATAAATACTACTAATAAAATTATCCAAAAACAAAAGATGTGAAGAAGGTAGGTTAAAGATATTTAGGTTAGACACTAACCACTGTTCAGCAACCCCTTTCAATTTGGGCTGAAGCTTAGTATCCCACTGGGATCATTCTGTCAACATTTACTGAGTGGTTATTTTGTGCCAAGCACCAGTCAGGGAGCAAGTACATAGAGAAGACTCAGTCCTTGCCTTCAAGTCTATAGGGCAAACAGGTAAGAAAATCAATATTTACAACCATGGGATAAATATCTAATATATAGTGATGCTTACTATATACTGAGCTGGGCTCAGTATATAGTATATACTATATACTGGGCTAAATCAATACTATAATAGAAGAGCATATAAAAAAAGGGGGCCTTCCCAAAGGACATTTATCCTTTTGCCATAACACAGATGGATGAACCTGAAAGCTCATTATTTTGTATACTTATACATAGAAACCATCCCAAAAGAATAAACAACTAGTAAATGCCATAATAGATAGTAGCTACTGAGGTTATGCTAGAAAAAGGGTAGAGGGAATAACAGGAAAAATATTATCACTCATTTTATATAAAGGAGTATTTTAATTCTTATCTTTAGAAACTACAAAGACTATACATGATTGGAATTGAGACTGTACCAAACAATGGCCAAAGAAGAATCGTCCATTCTACGCCTTCTCTTTGGTCTGGTCACTCAGAAATATAATGTTATCTGTAAAAAAGCCAAAGTGTAAATATTATTTTCAGAACACTTTCTCCATCTCTTTATTGATTCCACTATAATACATATACACTTTAGTGCTGTTCACTAAAAGAATTTTAGAGAACTTTTCAAAACATAAAATAACTCTTGCTATGTTCATGAGAGGTATATGCAATAGGCATAAATGGAGCTAAAAGTTGGGCTTTGGCTGTTTGTCCAACAATTCAGACCTTGTTAGAAAATGTGGAATATTTTTTGTCTTCCCTAAAAACAAGATAAACTCTTCTGAGAAGTAACTTCCAACATAAACACTGGTCAAAAATTGTATGCTTGCAATGCTCAGACAGACGCCATAAAACCAGGCAGTACACCTTCATATAAAAAAAGATCAAGGCACATCATTCCACGTGCTGGAGTTACGGAGCAAAGGACAGGGGTCCACATGTGGCCTTGTTAGCTGTGACAGATTTATTTGTTTTTAAATAAGTTTAAAAACTCATATAGAAGATACTTTATTTCTAAATAATAAATAGCTTTATTATACTCATTCTTATGGAAATTTTTACTAATAAATATTATAGAGTGAGCATTTTTATCAAAAAACATCAGACACTGCTCTTGAAATGCTGCTCCAGAGGGAGTTAGCTATGGATAAGCAAAGGAAGAGAAGTAGTAAAGTCGTCCTACAGTATCCATGGGGGATAGGTTCTAGGATTTCCATGACTACCAAAATTCACAGATGCTCAAGTCTCTGGTATAAAATGGTGTAGTAGTCACATATAACCTACACACATCCTCACATAGATTTCAAATCATCTTTAGATTACTAATATCTAATACAATATAAATGCTATTAAATAATTGTTATACTGTATTGTTTTATTTGTATTATTCTTTATTGTTGTACTATTATTTTTATTGCTTTCTTTTTTTCAAATACATATTCAATCTGAGGTTGGTTGAATCCAAGGATGCAGAACCCACAGACACAGAGAAACAACTGTATTTCCTTTATAATTCCAAAAGATATAGATTTTTTTTAACTATAAAATTACCCACAAAGGACTGAATATTTGTTCATAACTATAGTCTTCCAAAAACGAAATGTTTCGGTATAAAATGGTTACTTCAGAAGAGACTATTAGACCTGACATCACTATAGAAAAAGCCAAGAGTGCCATCTACCGGTGGTTATTTTTAAATTACAGATGTAATCCCTAGGAGAAAAAAATAATGAACCATAAACTATCAACCAAATTAAACTCTACTTTCTTCAATTCAAATGTCACTGAATATCTATTTGGTTGTACTGTCAGTCATAAACCTATAGTTAACTGACCATGTTAGTAAAAACTAGTGACAAGAAAAAAACAAAATGGTAGATTATCAGTAAAAAAATATATGATTATTTATAACAAATTATAATTTATCAATATGGTCTAGTGATTAAGACATGAACTCTGCAGCAAAGGGAAAAAGAAGATAAAGGAAAATCTGTCAATTGAAAGAGACAAGATATATATAAACCATGTGATATAAGGGTGTTTATGAAGTAATCAAGGAACTCTGAACGCTCATATTTAGTAAAAAAATAATTACCAATAATTTTCTAATATTAGTTATAATAGCATGGTAGTTATGTTTTTAAACAGACACCTTTATCTTTTGGAGATAAATACTGAAATTTAAGAATGAAATGATACAATGTCTGGACTCTGCTTCAAAAGAATCTAGGAGGAGGTAAAGTGGCTGGAAACAGATGAAATAATACTGGCCATTAGCTGATAACTGAGGAGGCTAAATAGTAGGGGTTCATTTTACTATTCTACTTTTATATATGTTTGACATTTTCCAAAATAAAAAATTTTTAGATGATATTATCTAATTTTAACACAACTCAGAAGTTCATAAACATCAAGAAATTAATAAAATTTCTTTTATTCCCATCTAATTATCTATAAAAACAAGGTTTCTTAGTGTTTATATCCACAAAAACAAACAAAACTGAGACTTAACAATGTCTAAATTTTGCAATTTATCCAAGAAATGAAAAAAGCAGCATCTCATTAAAAGACATATAGGTCCGATAATATTTTAGTTTTTATATTTATACATTAAAATTGTTTGGGTCAATTGGGTACTAAAAACAACTTTAATGATAATCCAATAAGAATTTGTCACAGAATTTAAATATCTAAAAATTTATTTTATGTATATATTTTTGTTACAGATAAATAAGATGAATAATAAAAGATTCTTAACTATACAATATTATTATATTAAGATACATTTCTGAGGAGAAAATGGAAATGGTAAAACAAGTTCAAAGAAAAAAGAATAATGTAAAATTTCCAAACGTTGAAGAGTTTGTTCATGCATTTTTTTGTATGATGGTGGGTATCAGATTGCTATGGTATTTAGACTCCATTAATATATTTAAGAGTAACATAATTTTATATTGATAAAAATGTCATAATGTCAATTTAAAGACATCCAAAAGGGCATATTATTTTCAAAGTTCTTGTAGAATTTTCAAAAGTTTAAAATCTCTTCCCTAGGGGATATCTTCTTAATCTTCTTTAAGCTTTATGTGTCTATCTTTTCTATGTTGTATTCTATTTTAGAGAACATTAAAAATTTTTAACTTTCAAATAGAAGTGTCACCATATGGAGCACCAAAGAGGTTCTGCATAAATCTTCAAATTTCTGAGGCATGTGCTTCTCCCTGTTTAGGCCATTTCCTTCAAAGACAATAGATTTAAATTTTTCTAATTCCCAACAGTAAGTACTAGCATGGACAATTCAATTTTACACTCTACTCAAAAGTTACCTGTGATCTAAAAGTGTGTGTATTATTTTTAATTTTCTAAAGGAATAAAGAAATGCAGAAACTCTTGGCAAGCAAAAAACCAGAGTTACAGAATTCTTCTAGTGAATTGTCTTCATTCTCATAGCATCTGTACTCATAGCCCCAGTTAAGGTTATTTACAAGATAACCAAGCTTTTAGAAGAGGGGGAAAAAAAGAATAGCTAAACATTGTCACAAGCTTCTTACCAGCTATGATCGTTGTTGCTTGTCGCCTCACATTATTTTTATCCATGTATTCACCATAGTCTACTTTCCCTTCCACATAAATTCGAGCCCTAATAGAAATAAAATTAACACTTTTTAGTCAAGATTCTAATATGCTTTACAAGACAAGAGTCAGGTCAGAGGTGGTAATGAGTATACACCTCTGGATATAATATGGATAAAAGGATGAAATATATAATCTCATTTTTGCTACCACTTCTCAAAGTTCAGAATTAGGAGTACTAAAACAGAATGTACAAACAAACTTGACACCTCCAAGTAAAAAGGACAATGTTTTCATCCTTCAGCCATTTATCTAATGGAAGTTAAAAAAAAAAAAAAAAAACCTGTTCAAAGAACAACTCAGTGGCAACCTTTAAATTTCGAAAAGTGATTTCCAATGTGTCATTTTCCTTGAGATTAGATTTTGGAGTCCCTAACAAATTTGATTTTCTCTTATTTATCAATTCCTTTCTATAGTAAGGTTTATGACCTTATTCTCAAAGGACTTAGATTATTAAAATTTAAAACAGAGGTTTTCAGCTTAGTGTATCACTCAGAGTTAATTACTACAATTATTTCTATAATATCTAGACCAGACAATCATACTATGATTTTAAAGGGTAGAAAAATGATCATAATGGCACCAGTTTTCAGAGTCCACTACGACCAAAAAAGACAAAATTAGTGAAATGATCAGGTGCCAAAGAAAACACACAAACATATACACAAATAGATTCATCTATCAGTAGGTGGAACTGCAAGTAGATACTTTCCTTGAAATATTCTATATGTGTTTGTGCGTATTTACGCACATATTCATACATACATAAAGGGCAATGGAGATACATACAAAGAAACGCTATGCAGTTATTGAAAATAGAAATTTTAGTCACTGTTGAAATGATTTTTCAAGAAATGTTTTGACTATTTCTACAAAACAAGTAGATTTCTAAACATTAATTATTAACACAACTGCTGTTAAACACACCCTTCTGTCCTACAAGTTTGGAAAAGACATTTTTTATACATACTCAATCCAAGTATTCTAAAAGGGAACTACTAAGCCTATAAAAAATTATCAAATATAAAATAACTGCTGTGACTATTACCATAATAACTCAATGTGTCAGGATTCAGACGTTCCAGATCCTCCACTAAAGACATCATGTGGATGCCAAGAGACAAGACACCACGCTCAGAATCCTTGGTCACGGAGGCAAGGTAACTCCTAAAAGCTTGTGTTCCACTTACCCAAATGGCACTTAATAACACTCTGCCTTTTCTCCTGCTTCATCTACTTCTATTTATGTACATGCCTTGCTTGCCCTAAATCGTAAGTTCTTAGGAGGCTAAAACCATGTTTACATTCACGGGCTAAAACCTGTGAATTAATCACACACATATCAACATGCCATGTACAGTATCAGGGACTTAATAAACAACTCAGGGAAAAAGGAGAAGTTACATGTTTTTTGCCATGAGAATACTTGCTACCAGTTCTTTAAAACTGTGGTCCCCAAACCCTGGGCCATGGACAAGTATCAGTCTGTGGCCCGTTAGGAACCGGGCCACAAAACAGTAGGTAAGCTGCTGGCAAGCTTCATCTGTGTTTACAGCCGCTCCCCATTGCTTGCATCACCTGAGCTCACCATGAGCTCTACCTCCTGTCAGATCTGCAGCAGCATTAGATCCTTATAGGAGCGCAAATCCTACTGTAAACTGCACACGCAAGGGATCTAGGCTTCACGCTCCTTATGAGAATCTAATGCCTGATGATCCAAGGTGCAGCTGAGACAGTGAATACCACTCCCCACCACCCCACACATCCCCCATCCTCCATCAGTGGAAAAATTGTCTTCCATGAAACCAGTCCCTGGTGCCAAAAGGTTGAGGACTGCAGCTTTGAATCAGTAAGATCCTTCCTTCTTCAACTCACCCCTTTTTAACATACTGATATGCCACATCTCTGAGGCCTGGCCGGAATACTGATATCCTGTGCCATGTTGTCTTTTGACTGACATCACCTAGATAACAGGAATAGGAAATATAGTTACAAATGCCAGCAGACAAAACAAATGTTAACGGACAACATGCCCAGCAAAACCAGTGTCACACTTTCTAACAGAACAGAATTAAAGACATACCTTGTTTAAAAGTAACTTATCTCTAATTAGATAATTGGCAATAAATAATGTCTGTTTATTGCTGATAAAATTAAAACTCCAATCTTTTCCACTCACCCATTTGGTATTCTTCATTGTCCCCTGATCGCCACATTTCATTTGTTGCTAGAGAAAATATCGTGACTGGATTTTTTCCTTCCACCTGTCTCATGACAGGATCCTGACCCACTCGCCCAAGTAACTGAACACGATTCAGGGCTGAAATGAAATGTAGAGATAAAATGAGATTAGGAATCTGCTGTGGACTGAATATTTATACCCCCTCCAAGTCATACATTGAAGCCCTAACTCCCAATGTGCTAGTATTTAGGCCAGGGGTGGATGGGCAGGCCATTTAGGAGATAATTCAGCTTAAATGAAGTCATGAGGGTGAGGCTCCCATGATGGGATTAGTGTTGTTATAAGAAGAGGAGGAGACCAGAGCTTCTCTCTCTCTGCCATGAAGATACAGTAAGAAGACCACCATCTACAAGCCAGGAAGAGAGCCCTCACCAAGAGCCCTTTCATGCTGGCACCCTGATCTTGGGCTTCTAGCCTCCAGAACTGTGAGAAATAAATGATATTTTGTTATAACAGCCCAAATTGACCATTAAGGAAATCCACACCTGAGATTGAGAGAAATGTCCAGAAGATGAACAGCTATAAATACTACTTCAACTTCAATCTCTGTATTAAGCAAAACCCAAGTTCTACAAGATCAGAAAATACATTAAAGGAATGAATGAGAGTGGGAAGAAAAAGAGGTAGAAAATAATCATACAAAAAGCAACCCCACAAAACCAACGTTAAACTCTTTAACTGTTCTTTAAAATGTCTTTTTTTTTTTTCCAAAAGATCTCCTCAGTCCAATAAAATGTCTTTTTTAAATGCATGTGAAACTAAAAGAACAAATCTGAGATCTGAAAATCTTCATAAATACAAGAGAATATTTCTGTGAAACAGTATCTTTTATAATCTCAGCGTAATGTAACATAACCTTGAGGGACTGAGATAACCAAACATGACTCAAGGAAATTCTTACAGCTGGACAGTGAAAACAAAATTGAGCAGTATCTGCTTCATAAGGGCCCAATTTATACTAGGAACCTATAGCACGATGGGTCAAAGCCAAGATCTTAGGAGCAAACACAAGCCAAAGACATGATGATAATATGGTTAACCTAAACAATGTACCTCTTCTACAGCACATTTGAGAATATTAGCACATTACTATAAAGAACATTTTAAACTTGGAAATTAGCTACTTACATCTTTCAAGAACCAAACTGCTAGCTATTTCAGACTCATGTCTTACAAACTGATGAAGTACCTAAAGGGGAACAAAAGAATACCATGGCTTTAATTTGTTAAAGGCAAACAGAAGACCTGCTCATACTCACCATTTAGTGAGTAGTTTCTGTAAGTTGGAAGGGAAGGGAAAGGGAAAGAGAAAGGGAAAGGGAAGAGAAAAGAAGCTCTTCCCATGTTTTCCCAACACACAGTACCAGAAGGACCAAGCAAACACTTTAAGAGCAGGTGACTGCAGAAGCCCAAAGGTAGTAGACAGTATGCCCAAGCCTTAATTTATAGTCCTCTGTTGTGTGTGTGTGTGTTTGTGTGGCAATTCTCCCAATTATGGCACTTCTGGTTTGCACACAAAAGGTAAAATCAAAATACTACAACTTTCATAATACAGTATGACAGTGATTATAAATCTAACCTAAGGGTTGCTGCCAAATATTTTAAAAATCTAGCTTTCATTAGCATGATACACAGAAAGAAGTAAAAAATGCTGTATACATTCAAAAGATTAGACCAACCAACCTATTTTTATTTTTTTATTGAGACAGACTCTCACTTTGTTGCCCAGGCTAGAGTGAGTGCCGTGGCGTCAGTCTAGAACACAGCAACCTCAAACTCCTGGGCTCAAGCAATCCTGCTGCCTCAGCTTCCTGAGTGGCTGGGACTACAAGCATGCGCCACCATGCCTGGCTAATTTTTTCTATATATATTAGTTGGCCAATTAATTTCTTTCTATTTATAGTAGAGACGGGTCTTGCTCTTGGCTCAGGCTGGTTTCAAACTCTTGACCTTGAGCCATCCTCCTGCCTCTGTCTCCCAGAATACTAGGATTACAAGCATGAGCCACCACGCCTGGCCCAGTTGTTTATATTTTGTAAAAATAGGCCCGGAAACGGTGGCTCACGCCTATAATCCTAGCACTCTGCGAGGCTGAGGTGGGCGAATTGCTCGAGGTCAGGAGTTTGAAACCAGCCTGAGCAAAAGCGAGACTCCGTCTCCACTATAAATAAAAAGAAATTAATTGGCCAACGAATATATATAGAAAAAATTAGCCGGGCATGGTGGCGCATGCGTGTAGGCCCAGCTACTCAGGAGGCTGAGGCAGTAGGATCGCTTGAACCCAGGAGTTTGAGGTTGCTGTGAGCTAGGTTGATGCCACGGCACTCTGGCCCAGGCAACAGAGTGAGACTCTGACTCAAAAAAAATGTAAACAACTGGTATATTATTTCTATATTTTGGTTATAATAGGCTTTAAAAATGAAAAAATTTAGATTTATCTGAGTACAGATTTAGTCCATCATTAGACCAAAGGAGAACAGAAAGAGATCAATCCTTTACAATTAATGTATCAATAAGTAGATTCATTAATTACATAAAAAACAATGATCTAACAACTGTTAGAATGTATGAAATAAATGCAAGGTCATTACTTAAGCCTCGCTCTCAGCCACAAAGGATAGTTTAGAGAATAAAAAATAGGTTAAATTCCAACAAAATAATACATTCCTTCCATTAACAACATGAATGTCTTTCTGACATAGCAAGAGGAACATATTCCAAAGTCAGACTCTCTGTGTATAAAACTCTTAGAGTCTATGAAACTGCTTTCCTCTGGTTGTTCCTTCGGAATTCATCAGGAATTAGGAGATGCCTCAAATATGACTAGCCTAAAGTGGTTTCACTTAAAAATGAGCAAAAAATGATGATAGATAATATCCACTTCACAAGGCTATTGCAAAAATTAAACAACTTCTATAGTGAGCTTAGTCCAATGTAGAATTCTATAAATATTTGATGAGAGATTTCATGCTTTCAATAGATTTTAAAGTCTAAGATAAACAAATTTGGTTTTTTGAATACATACAAAGATACAGCTATCCAAGTCAAAGTCACACAGTTATCAGGGAAGGATAGTCACTGCCACACAATAACAGCACTTTATAATAGCAATCACTACTGAACAGGAGCTAAGTGATTTATCTAGTATCAATTAATCCTAAAACTAAATCTATAAATCATGGTATCCCCACTTTAGAGCCAAGGAAACTAAGCCTCAAAGAATTAAATAACTTGCCCAGGACCTACAGGCAATAAGTGGCAAATCATTGTAAGAATCCAGGGTCCTCTGACACTAAGATTACTGCTTTTCCCACTGCCCTCCACTGCCTCCTTAAAGAGACTGTTCGAGGCTACAATAAAGATAAGAGTATATATTGCTGAATTCAGGGTTCAGAGAGCTAACCATTCTATCAGAGAAATATTTTTCAAGTGGCAGTATTGTTAATATAAAAAGCAGAACTCTACCAACCAAATAAACACCATTTCCCGAAGGTACCACTGGTTATAGAATCCTATTACTAAATTTTGGGACAGAGGGTGGATAAGAAAATAAAGATGTGAGTTACAACATACTACAGAATCAAACTGCCTGTCATAGATCCTAGAAATGTACTAATTTGAGTGCTCAGACAAGCCAGAGCTCATAAATTTTATAGAATAGCAAAATATCTCATTTTGGGCACACAAAAATCAATACCTACTGGAGAAGAAATAGGGAAAGGATTATTTAACTTGAATAATTTTTAAAATTAAACTTTTAACTTTTTTGTATTTGTTTGTTTTTGTTTTTGAGACAGAGTCTTACTCTGTTGCCAGGGCTAGAGTGCCATGGCGTCAGCCTAGTTCACAGCAACCTCAAACTCCTGGGCTCAAGCAATCCTACTGCCTCAGCCTCCCGAGTAGCTGGGACTACAGGCATGTGCCACAATGCCTGGCTAATTTTTTCCATATATTTTTAGTTGGCCAATTAATTTCTTTCTATTTTTTAGTAGAGACGAGGTCTCGCTCTTGCTCAGGCTGGTCTGGAACTCCTGACCTTGAGTGATCCACCCGCCTCAGCCTCCCAGAGTGCTAGGATTACAGGCATAAGCCACCGCGCCCAGCCCTGTATTTGTTTTAAAGACATTGTAATACTATATTTAATTACTGCTAAGACAGTAGTAACTTTTATGTTTCACATTTCAATGCATAAAAAAGATTAAAAGTACAGACATATAGGTTAAAATGGAGATCCAAGAATATATAATAAATTTAATTCAACAATAAGGTAAAGGAGGTGACAACAGATTTCGCAGAGGAACTGACTCCTCTTAGTCTTAACAGGAGGATGGGGAGTAGGAGAGAGGTGTTATAAAGGAGAATCTTTAGGACTCGGTGCTCAAATGTGGTCAGTGAGGAAAAATGGTAGTCTAGGTGGGCTTAAGACTGGCTAGAGTAACTGGATGGAGGAGGAACCAGGCTGACTGGAATGAGAAGGAATTTTAAACAGTGAATTTCTGGTGATGCGGAGACTTGAGATGCTCTCCTCAGTATGGAAAGATGAGGGGTGAGGAGAATTTATAACTGGTGGTTGATGCTCAGGAAAGGAACCACATGCCTTACAAAAAAATGCTGGAACAATGATTCTTATAGTTCTTAGATCACTAAAGACCTTCAATGCTCTCTAACCGATCTAAATACAAGTAACATTATTCCTATTACATATGTGAACAAATGTAACAATTTTTTGTTTTAGTGACATTATTTACACAGGCAAAATCTGTCCCTAACTCTCCATATCAAGTGGGTGGGTGAACTCTAAAGTCTTTTGCCCCTGCAGCAAAAGCCTAAAGAAATCTGATCACTATGGCTGATAATATACCCAGGCATTAACATAGAAACGTGACTACCTGCAATAAAGGTCTTCGAAACATGGCTTCTCTTTTCTTAGTCTAATCTTTACACTCTTCCTGAAAAAAAAAAAAGAAAGAAATATTACATCTTATAGCAAGAGCACAAGTCCACCAGTCCTAAATTCCTAACTCCATTCATGATTTTTATGCACTCCAATTTGCGACCACAACATATCAATGCCCCTGCACATTTGACGAGGATCCCCCCACACAGTAAAGACTCATTAAATATTAGAGACATCAAGATACGTAAATATGAAACCTGTTGCTGCAACAATTATTGCCTCCATCCCCGTTAATAAAGTCCAAGGGACGCTGGAGACTCCCATGCTTCCCAGCCCCACTGCCGGGAAAGGCAGGCATCCTTACTCAAAGGTGGCGCTCCCACCCAAGCGCGCAGAGGAACTAGAAGGAAACTGCGCAGTCCTCTGCACGAGACAGAAGGGAAGGACCAAACACCTACCCAGAACCACGTCTGACCCACGCAAGCGCACAAACACGACTAGAACCTTTCCTTTCCTCCTTCCTCCCTTCTCCTGATGCTCTAGCCTGACAGCCCAGCGCCAGGGGAATCACTTCCGGCGCACGGAGCCGCAAGAATCGCGAGAGGAAGGAGGAAACAGAAAGTCCGCAGCGTGCGCCGCAGAAAAACTACCGTCCGGCATCACAGGAAACACGTTGCCTTTCTACTCGAGAGTTCCGGGAGCTTCTTTCCGAGCGCCGGTGGATGGATCAACGCCGCCAAGTGGTGAGTTCGAAAGAATTTCGAATGGAATACAACTAATGAAATGGAACTATTTAATGAGTGAGGGTTCCAGGCGCTCCCAGGAGGGGGCGAGGTAGGCGAAACCGAGAATACCTCCGCTTGGAGGAATAACAGAAAACAAAAACAAACAAAAAATGGCCCGGGCTTCCTGAAACAGTAAGAAAAGCAGAAAAGGAGAGGGGAATAGGCGAAGGGCTGAGCCTGCAAAATTTAAGGGAGCGCCAAAAAATTGGCAGTCAAGATAAAGAATATTTTAACCTTTTGCACTCGGATGTCGAGTGTGACTCGACACTGTTAGCATCGGTAGCAGCTCGTATGTCGAGCCACTCCTCGGCACGTAGTTTCACCGCGGGGGAAGGGGGATTTTTGTCTATTTTTCCAGTATGTTTTCTTGTTTTCATTAGCATGAAAGGACAAGTAAAATGTAAATGCCGTCTCAACTGATGCCACCACCTAAGCTTATCTTTTGCATAGGCAGCAATCTTGAGTAGGAGGGTCCAAGGCATGAGTCCTTGCATCATGCCTTTTTGAGCTTGCATCATCTTCCCTTGGTAAAGAACCTTCCTTATCTTTTCGTCTCCTAGGTTTGTTTAGGTTTCTATTAGCATATCACAGATTTTGTCATGACACGGGGTTTAGTTGGATGATTGGTTTGCCCCCTAGCAGTCGCACGTTCTGAGTGAATTTCCCTTCCTCAGGATGGTTAAGTTTTCCAAAGACATAGAAAGCAGCGATGATGAATTTTACTTCGAAAACGAAGACAAAAGTGAAAAATGTAATAATGACGAAATTGAGTTCTCTGAGGATGCGAGTGGAGATGAACAAATCGCTGGTCCTAGTGGAACTACAGAAAGGAAAACGTCCCTTGCTTTGCCCAAAAATCTGGCTGAAAGTACTGACAGTGACATTGAATTCATAAAGGCAAAACGAAGTCGCACAATTGTTTATTCGAGAGTGATGTAGATATAGGTGATATCATTGAGAAATTGGGTATAAGACCCGGTGAAAGTTACGTTTCTAGGAGAAAACAGGAAAAAGAAAAGTGGACATCTACATCTGTGAATGACAAAGAGCCTAGCAGAATCCCTTTCTCCACTGGTCAATTACATGTTGGACCTCAAGTTCCTTCTGGATGTGCCACACCAATAGACTTTTTTCAGTTGTTTTTTACTGAGACATTGATAAAAAATATAACGGATGAGACAAATGAGTATGCTAGGCATAAAATTAGCCAGAAAAAACTATCCCAGCAATCCACTTGGAATAATTGGAAAGATGTGACGATAGAGGAAATGAAGGCTTTGCTTGGTGTAATACTAAATATGGATGTATTGAATCACCCCAACTTGTAGAGTTATTGGTCCATGGATTTTGAGTCTCATATACCATTTTTTCGATCAGTTTTCAAAAGAGAAAGGTTCTTGCAAATATTTTGGATGTTACACTTGAAAAATGATCAAAAGTCAAGTAAAAGTTTGAGAACAAGAACCGAGAAGGTAAACTGCTTCTTGTCATACCTTGAAATGAAATTTAGGGAGAGATTCTGTCCTGGAAGAGAGATTGCTGTTGATGAGGCTGTTGTTGGTTTCAAGGGAAAGGTACACTTCATCACATATAATCCTAAAAAGCCAACAAAATGGGGTATTCGTTTATATGTCCTCTCAGATTCAAAATGTGGTTACGTACATTCATTTGTCCCTTATTATGGAGGAATAACATCTGAAACGTTGGTGAGACCTGATCTCCCTTTTACTAGCAGAATAGTTTTAGAGCCTCATGAAAGATTGAAGAACTCAGTACCTAGTTCTCAAGGTTATCATTTTTTCACTGACAGGTATTACCCTAGTGTCACTCTTGCAAAGGAATTGTTCAAGGAAAAAACACACTTGACAGGGACAATAATGTCCAATAGGAAAGATAATCCACCTGTTATCAAACATCCAAAGCTAAAGAAAGGAGAGATAGTGGCTTTCAGGAATGAAAATGTAACGCTTCTTGCGTGGAAAGACAAGAGGTTAGTCACAATGCTCAGTACATGGGACATTTCAGAGACTGAGTCTGTGGAAAGGAGAGTGCATGGTGGTAGGAAGGAAATAGTTCTCAAACCCAAGGTTGTGACCAACTATGCAAAGTTTATGGGAGGTGTTGAGATAGCTGATCACTACACAAGCACATACTGTTTTATGAGGAAGACTCTAAAATGGTGGCATACATTGTTTTTCTGGGGGCTTGAGGTCAGTGTTGTAAATTCCTATATATTATACAAAGAATGCCAAAAAAGAAAAAATGAAAAACCAATAACACATGTGAAATTTATTAGGAAACTAGTACATGATCTTGTTGGAGAATTCAGAGATGGTACAGTAACTTCCAGGGATAGATTATTATCCACTAACTTAGAGCAACATTTAGATGGAAAGCTCCATATAATCACACCTCACCCTAACAAAAAACACAAAGATTGTATTGTTTGTTCTAACAGAAAAATCAAAGGAGGAAGAAGAGAGATGATTTATATTCGTGAAACATGTGAAGGTAAACCAGGTCTTCATGTGGGCGAATGTTTCAAAAAATATCACACCATGAAAAATTATAGAGATTAAAATTACTCTTTGAATGTATCAATAATTTGAAATATTAAAAAATCTAAATAAATAAGTTTGTATGAAAAGAAACTCCAGCTTTTTATTCTACTGCCGCACTTTGCAAAATCTGGGGTATTTAAAAAATTAAATCGCAAGTAGAATAAAGGAATCGGGGAAAAAAGCGAGTGCAAAGGGTTAATGCAGTATTTTAAAAGGTCTAAAATTAATGGAAGAAATCCGTGAGGAACCAAATTAACAGTCGTGTGTCGCTTTAATGACGGGCTACATTCTGAGAAATGTGTCCTTTGGGCGATTTTATGTTGTTCGAACATGCTTGTACTTACACAAAGCTAGGTGGTATAGCCTACCACACACCTAGGCTGTTTGGTATAGCCTACTGCTGCAAGGCTACACACTCATATGTTACTGTACTGAATACCTAGGCAATTGCAAGATAATGGTATTTGTGTTTCTAAACATAGAGAAAGTACAACAAAAATATAGTATAAAAGATAAAAAAAAAATGATACACCTACATAGACCACTTCCCATGGATGGAGCTTTCAGAACTGGAAGTTGCTCTGGGTGAGTCAGTGTGTAGGGAGTGAATGTGAAGGCTGAGGACATTATATTGTTCAGTATTGTAGACTTTGTAAACACTGTACACTCAGGCTACACTATATTTTTTTAATATTTTTCTTTCTTCAATAATAAATTAACCTTAGCTTACTATACCTTACTTTATAAACTTTAATTTTTTAACTTTTTCACTCTTTCTGATAACACAGCTTAAAACACAAACACATTATACAGCTGTACAAAATATTTTGTCTTATATCTTCATTCTATAAGCTTTTTTCTATTAAATTTTTTTTTTAACTTTTTAAACATTTTTTGTTAAACACTAAGACACAAACACACACATTAGCCTAGGCCTACATAGGGTCAGGGTGGTCAATATCACTGCCTTCCACCTTCCCATATTCAGGGTCAATAACATGCATGGAGCTGTCATCTCCTGCAATAACAATGCCTTCTTCTGGAATACTTCCTGAAAGACATGCTTGAGGTTGTTTAACACTTCACTCATTTTTTATAAGTACAGGGAGTACACTGTAAAATAACAATAACAACAATAAAATAACAATAAAGAGAAACCAGTCATTTTCTCTTTAAAAATCCAACTTTCATTTGGGGAGTGAAGTCAAATGCAAAACTAAATACACCCTTTCATCCAAAGCCAATTTCCCAGTTGTAAGCTCCCTGTTTGCTTTAGTGGTACCAAGATTCTCCCAGACTTGAACCTGGTAATCATCTTTAAATTTTCTCTGATAACCCCCATCTGTTCACCTATATCCAGTCACTTGGCCCTAAACGTTCTTTCTTCATTATGCCACTAATATCTCCCTCTTTCTATTTACATACTTTGGGGTGAGGAGTGTAAAGAAATTGCATGAAGAAAAATGCAGAAAGTACTATACAAGCTGAAAACAGGTATAATAAACTGAAACTGTATAATAAACAGGTATAATAAACTGAAACAGTATAACAAACTGAAACAGTATACAGGTAAGCCAGTAACATAGTCATTTATTATAATTATCAAGTAAAACAAGAGTAATGTGTTGTGCTGTGATGTTTCAGCAGCCACATCACTAAACCATGGGAATTTTTCAACTCTTTTATAATCTTAAGCAACTACCATCATATATGCAGTCTAACATCACTATGCAGTGCATGACTGGATTAAAATTTTATTGTAATACAGGATCTGAGCCATATTGGAGCCTGAGGCACAGGAAAATGTGCACCCCTATATTCATGTTTTTATGTATTTTTTAAATTTTTTTCTAGAACATTAGTTGAATATTAAAAATTTTAGAAATAGTTGTATTAAAACTCAACATTATTTAAGTTTAAATATTTTGTTAATACCAAAAATTGAATTTAATTTTGCTTTCCTGGTTTTAATAGAAGTAAACTGAGCAGTAATAGCTTTAAAATCTAATTCTTTCCTTATCCTGTTTCAGTTGCAAGAGTTGCCACATCTCAGAATTTTTCTTGGCCAAGTGACAATCTTAAGTAATTTTAACTTCAGCTCACTCATCTTGTCTTTAAAATTTTGGTATTTTGTCCACTTTGGATGTTTTTAATTAGTTTTAATATTTTAAAAATGTTCCATTAAAGTATCATTAATCTTGATTGCTGAGTTTCTTGGTGTCCCTTAAATTTTATCTTATTCACCCTAATCCTGGCCCTGGTAGGAAAGAGAATATATGGAGCCCCACAAATTGTAGAATCCAGGCCAGTGGGGGCCTCCCTTTCCTCTCCATCTCTCTGTCCTGGCACTGTCCCTCTTGAGGAGAAGGAAGGTATCCTCCAGATTGTTCTAATGTGCGAATTGCCTCCTCAAGCCCCTGCTTAAAGTCATTCAACTGCCCATTCTTGCCCTTTAGTGATAAAATCTTAACTACTTAACAGGGATTCTAGCACACACCTTAACTCACTCCTGAAGGTCTGGCTCACTAGTTCTGTACTGTATTTCTAGATGTGAAACTGCCCTTTATGAAGTTAATAAAAGGCTGTAAGGTGGAAACTGTGGTAGAGGCCTGAACTCTGCAAATGCATAGGCATAGTTAAAATATGTATATAGCCAGCCATTGTTCCCTAGCTTGCCTTCCTATAATTGCTTTCTACTCAGGAGTCACATAGCTGATGGTCATGAAAATTCTTAGCTTTCTTCATTGCTCCCATAGGTAGCATTATACTCTTATGAATCCTAGGCTTGTCTTTGAGTTATCTTCCAGACCCTGCATTCTGGTGGACCAGCTGACCCAGCCAGACCAGTGGCCCATACCAAGCAAGGAACCAACCCAACTGGTCTTGTGACCTGGGAACTGACTCAGCACAAGAAGACAGTTTCTGCTTCCCAACCCTATGAGTTCATGCCCAATTCCCTAGCTCTTTGCCCACCAAACTGTCTTTAAAAGCGCTGCTCTCAAATTCTCAGGGAGGTGGATTTGAGAAATTCTTCCTATCTCCTCACATGGTTCCTGCAATATTAAACTTTCTCTGCTGTAAACTCTGCCATCTCAGTATTGGCTTCCTCTGGAGCAGTGGGCAATGAACCTGGTTGGGCAGTAGCAGACACTAACATCTATTTTATAATACTGCCAACTTCAAGATGCTGAGTTCCTGAAACATACCATATTATACTGCCTTCCAGCCTTGCACAGGTATTAATAATCCTGCACCTGCCCCATGTGTTACTGTCAATCCTCTCCAGTCATTTTCTCTTTAAAAACCCAACTTTCATTTGGGGAGTGAAGTCAAATGCAAAACTAAATACATCTTTTCATCCAAAGCCAATTTCCCAATTGTAAGCTCCCTGTTTGCTTTAATGGTACCAAGATTCTCCTAGACTTGAACCTTGTAATCATCTTTAAATTTTCTCTGATCACCCCCATCTGTTCACCTATATCCAGTCACTTGGCCCTAAAAGTTCTTTCTTCATTATGCCACTAATATCTCCCTCTTTCTATTTGCATACTTTGGAGTGAGGAGTGTAAAGAGACTGTATAAAGAAAAATGCAGAAAGTACTATACAAACTGAAAACAGCCAACCTTGGGTTATTTACAACTTTGTAAATAACATCTTAGTGGAGAGTCTGGGCTCATCCAAATTCTCTCTCAGATAAGAATTACTGAAACAGATTCTCCTTAGAGTATTGGCTAGAGAAAGTTGCAAGTGCTGCTTTTTTTCTTCTATGACAAAGAAAAGCATGTTAAAGTGTACAAAAATTTTTAAATGTATAATGTCACAGAGGAACTAAGCAAAAACATTTTCTTCTATCAAATAGTAGATAGTATTTGATAGTTAATATCTTCCTAATACAACTAATGCTTCAGCTTCACTCTCACTGTCCTCACAATCTGAAATGTCCTCCCCCCACCACACTTTCAAAATCTGTTCTCCCATTTCATGTTCTTTACACACTCAGTCTGTGTTGTATTATTATTTAAATGATCATGAAGATGTCTCATCTCTCCCATTGATTGTGAGCTTTTAGGGGACAGGGAACGTGTGAATATTCAATTCACAGTATGCTTTAAAAACAAGGACAGGCTTTAGAAGGGCCCAGTTCACAGGCCAGAGCACAGAAATAGCAAGAAAAATAGAATCCAGAAAGATGCTTAAATAGGCCTAAAATTAAAAGATTTTTTTTTTAAAAAAATCAAGGATCTGGAAGAGTGATTCAAATGTATTTTTGTATCAGAGATACCCCTTCAGAAATCTAAAGTTTGCATTTTCATGAGGATGCCCTGAAACCTCTCTGTAGCATACATACATACTCTCTGTCTCTCTGTCTTTCTCTCTAACACAATCATGGACTTTCCATAGTTCATCCATGGATCCAGAGAGGGCCTTCCCAATACTGAGAAGTAGTGACAGGTAGCCCTGTGGCTTTCCTCAGCTTTAATCCCTGGCAATAGTGAACTCAGGGTTTTTGTCATTTGCAAAGCTTACTGAGAAAGAGAAATGTACATCATACATGCCCAAGGCTGCAAAGTTACCTTTGGCCTCACCCTTTTATTTCCACCTAAAATAAAAGGGTTTCAGCTATACGTATCCAGTGGTAGAGAACAAAATTAATAGTGCTTTATCACACAACTAGGAAGCTTTGGGCAGTTTTGCTGTTAAAAAAAATTTTTTTTTGGAAATTTTAATCAAGTTTTTACTTTGCTTCTAAAACACTTTTTTTAAAGCCTCATAATAACTGGCAGAAAATTACAGCACTTACTACCTAAACTGATTACTAGCATGTATTTTAAAGTGAATCAAAAGTGATTTTAGCAATATTTCAGAGTTATTATAGCTTTCTAATTTTAAAAATAAATCTGACGATTTTTATGTAATTCAAGATTGAAATTGTGGTTCATCTAGAGATAAAAAGGCTTAGTTGTTCAAGCTGAAAGATTGACATCTGTCTTTCAATATTCATCTTTCCATAGTTTTAGATAAATGACCTCTATAAATTGGTACATATATTAGAGCTTAAACCAGTAGAGTACGATAGTATTTCTTCTAAGTCTCAAGATTGCCTGTTGGCACCTTAATTTCAGTGTTTGTGTTTAGGATACATATATAGGGAAGTAATATTTGTTTCCTAAAGTATTTAAATTTAACTTATTTAATGTTGCTAGTCCAGTGATGTTAGTGAAATAGGTTTGATAATTAGTTTGAGTTATATCATGATCTCTGTGCAGAGACAAAACTGAGGCAAGGAATAAATGTCTAACTGAAATGGAAGAGATAAAATGCAGAACCCAGTAAACACTTGGTCCCTCTCACACTCAATAGTATCTATACAGATGCATGCTATTTTGGTGACTTCCTGTTACTATGGAGCCCAGGAGAGAAAGACAGAGACAGAGAGAAATAATCTGGCACTAGGTCCATTCAGATGTGAAGCTAGGCTCCAAGGAACACAGTAGGGAAGGGGTTGTAGTCCAAAATAGCTGTAGTTGTCAATGCCTGAGAATACAGGCATAACCAAAGAATTCTGATTCATACATTGCATATACTTAATAAAGTACCTGTTTCTAAATTACAAATTGTGGTTGACCTTGCAGTATACTGCAAGATACATGGCCTGGGGTTGGGGGTGAGGTAGCAAGAGATAAAATAACCCCATTTTTAAATTTTGAATAAAGACTAGTAAATTAAAGTGGCAATGTAATATAGGAAGAACTACATGACACTTAATTTCACAGAAAAAACTGCTATTCCAAAGCAGAACAAGGAATAATATGATGGTTTATTCAATTAAAAAAACATAATTAGCTTTTAAAAATGAGGGGAAAATAAGAAAATCAGGCAGCAAAAAGAGCCATTAATCATTAACAGTTTACATTCATTAGGATGGCACAAACAGAATTTATCAAATGCCTTTGTGATTGGCATTATTTTATAGCAGAGCCTGACTGTTATTAACTTTTGGACCTGTGAAGCTGGGCCTTGCTGCCAAGACATGTTACTAAAACCAACTAAATTCTCTTATCCATTTATTCATAAAGTGTTTTCCAACAAATTTCTCATTCTTTGTTAGTTACATATGATAAAGAAGAGTGCTTTACCCATTATTCAGCTTTGAACAAGATAAAAACCTTTATTTAAAAATACAGTATTCTATTCCTTTAAGAATGTATACAGAAAAAGAATTTGGATAAAATGTGATAAAATGGCAGGAAATAAAGCCAAATTCTGATAAAGTCAAGATAAATTGGCAGTACCCAGAATATCAAAACCAATCAGAACAGCCACGAGAGGGTCAGGGCAAATAGACTGAGGGAGAACAGCCACGTAAAATTTTCTTTGAACCCTCTGCCTCTAGTATTTCTGTTCTAGAAGTTAACCAGCTCAGAAATGTTCACATTATATACAGGTTTACTTTTACCCACCTCACATAATAGTGAAGCCATTTATTTAATAAATATGATACCAGAGAAAGGGCATATATACATTAAGAAAGCCACTTTCTCAAAGGGACTGGGAATTCTTTTAGGGATAGCATCATATAACCTGGGAAGCACTGTTTGAATCCAGGTACATTTTCTTGTAAGCTGTAACTTTAACTCAAAACCAAATTTTATTCCCTTCTATTTACAGATAGAGGCCTTGGGGTCCTTGGTGGGGAAATTGCCAACAGCAACCTCTTAATCCATAGGCCAAACCAAGGACAGTTTCCCTTTCTTCTTTCAATTCAGAGGGTCGTGCTCCCCCCCTGTTTCATCAAAAAAAAAAAAAAAAAAAATGTGAGAAGTAAATGAATTGTTGATAGGTAGCATTAGGAATATAACAATAAGGAAGAGAAATAACTACCAAGTATTGTACCTGGGACCATTGCTAATACAAAGCCTTACTAGCTTTAAGATCTTGGCTGTACATGATAAATTAGGAGTGGCTTTTGAAAGCTTTGGGCATTCAAGTTGCTTAATTTTTTCATTTTATAAAGGAGAGGTTGGGACAGTAAATACCTATTTCTGGAGGCTCTGCAGTAAGAGGTCAGTTGGTGTGAAATGAATTCTTAAGGGGAAGATTACTCACAGGTAAAGCTTGAAGACTTCGCACTCTTTCCTCCCACCAGGCGTTTCGTGCTTCTTGATCCTGTGTGGGCCTCAGAGCCCCCAGGGTGGATGTCTCCCTGAGGGGACTGGGCCTGCTGGACTTCTCTCAGTTCCCTGCAATGAAAGGGAGAAAAAGCAAGGTTACTTGATCCCCAATTAAAGATATTTATGATCAAAACATAAAACTGTTTCTTTTTTTAGTATTCACAGTAACAAGCCTGAGCTATACACAGAATAGACAATTCAATTCCTATGATAGTCTTAAAAACTGGTTGACCCACATACCATTGCATATGGTAGGTTTAGCTTCCAAGACCCCACTGATTGGAGCACAAATGGATTTTAAAATTTAAAAAATTAAGTGAACGACTTTTCAGGCTGTATGTGAAAGGTACAGAGGTCAACAAACCACAGCCTCTGGGTCACATATAGCCTGTCACTTGTATTTTTAAATAAAGTCTTATTGGAATACAGCCACTTGTTGATACATTGTCTATGGCTGCTTTCACACTATATCAGCAGAGTTCAAACATTACAGCAGAAAGCATAAGTCCCACAAAGCATAAAATATTTACTATCTACCAAGGGTCCTCAAACTACAGCCCACGGGCCACATGCAGCCCACCGAGGACATTTATCCGGCCCGCCGGGTGTTTTTGCTGCCGCTGCTTGTCCTGCTTAGCAGCCGACTGGTCCCGCGGGGGCCCACAGTGCACATATGTGGAATGTGTGCTGCACTCTCCAATGGCCCTCCAACAGTCTGAGGGACAGTGAACTGGCCTCCTGTTTAAAAAGTTTGAGGACCCCTGATTCCAGCCTTTTACAAAGCAATTTTGCTAACCTCTGGTCTAGACCATTTCAAGATACCATCTGCCCCATCTCTGCTATGGGTGCCCATCACTAGTACTGGCTGATGGCAGTTACTTGTGCCTATGTAGCTGGCTTCACAGAATGTACACACCACTCTCTAAGAGGTACTTATATTGTTGTGAACAACATATATATAAGTCTAGTATTTTGTACTTTATTTCAATGGCATTCGAAACTAGAGCAGAAAATATCAAGTGGCTCTTTAGGAAGAAGTACCTGACTAAAGGCTGAGAGACTCTGAAACTTATTACCAAGCAATTAGTTTGGGGACTTTTCAAGCTAATGTTTCCAAGATAGATTGTGTGTCCAAGAGAAGTGAGACCTCTAAGCATATTTTAGACAAAGACTATTTTTTATTTCCTTCTTTTGTATTTAACCATGCACAGTATATGTAATAATCACTTTTAAATGCCTTCAGAACACTGCTCAACATTACTACCTGACCTCTTTCCCAACTCCTTCCCATCTAATTAATTCCCATTTTTAATGAAAGAATGGATTAATAAGTAAATACATGCACAAATACAAGCCTACATTAATATGATCAGATTGCTTTCTTTGCTCAGAAAAATACCTCTTCCTCTAAACATGTACAAGGACAGTATGTCTGCCTGCCCCTGAAACTTAATGGGTTTCTAAAATAGGTTCCTACCACCTAATACGGTTATATTAGGTGATCACCCACCAGGGTTAGATGCCTACTGTCACTCGATCTTAAATGTTCTTTACCAGTTATATTTCTTTATATTCCTCACTCTTGCTTCCTTTGCACTAACTGGAATTTTCTCTCTCAAGCAGCTTAGTCATAGAGCCTCCCAGTTCCATGCTACAAAGAGCTTCAGTCTGCCAATCTCTTTGTGAGCAGGGACCTATGTAGTATAGTGGTGAATATATAAACTTGAATCCATATAGAAGACACATTAGATCAGTTATGTTAATATCATTGTGCATAGTACACAATAGATTCTTTCTTGTCCCATCATCTAAAAACTACCTTTCCAGTGTGGCTGTCTTGAATTTTTCCAAATTCAGCTGCTCCTGGAGCTCTTCAGCTTTCCCCAGGGAGGGCCGGAGAACTCGACTTCTAGACAGAGCTACTGCAGAAGGTCTCTCTCCTGGATCAGGGTGGATCATATTCTGATGGCATAGAGCCAAAAGGAAGAAAACAGCAGCTTCATTACTGGGAAAAATCTTCCCACTCAAGCCAACTCCAACCCAGCTTTTTCTGATGAATTTTCTAAAACTCTGCTTGCCCTTTGTACAGAGGGAAGATATAAAACTTAGCTCCACCTTGGACAGGAAGATTGTCCATGTCTGGTAGCATCAATTGTCCACACCCATGACTTGTCTTTAAATATTATGTTTTATAGTTGGCTGGACGATTAGCTACTCTAATGCCTTAATTTCAAAGTAGGACAGAACTGAGACCCTAGATAAAAAATCACTTATCCAAGTTATTTAGAAGGGCCAAGACCAAAACCTGTTTACTTAACTCTTAGTTTAGCTTACTTCCTATTATATCATGCTGCTTTTTCACATAATAACTCACCATGACAGTATTTCTAAAGCATTTATCTCAAGGTATAGGATATATCTGTAGCCTAAGATGATTTGACTATAATGGAAAATACCTAATTTTATACAAGTAACAATGTCATAAAATGAAAAAAAAACACTGAACCTTCTTCTCTACCATTTAGTTTGTGAACTTTCCTGAAGCTCAGTTTCCCTTTCCTGAAATTTGACATAATGACACACCTTCTGAGACTACTGTTAGAATTAAGTGACTTAATATATGTATTGTCTAGCACAAGGCCAGCATTTACATACTCAGTAAGTATCAACAAAATCTAAGAGTGGTTTACACTTAAAAATAGATGATTAGACAATGAAAAAAGACCACTATGAGGAAGGGTTTGCCTCTTTTCAAGAATGCAAAAGTAGTCAGGAAAAAGGACAGGTTTGTAACTATATTTGAAGTTTCTAGGTAAACCATGAAACTCAAATCTAATCTCTAAGTGAGTAGATATTTCTAAAGCTATTTTAGGGATCCTAACCAATCCTGTTCCCTAAGCCATGAAATCATACATACATTTTATTTTCTTGGTATAATTATAAGCTGGACAGGGTAAGCTTTTCATATCTTTGTTTCAACATAATATTATGCTTTTCTCATCCCCATACATACTCAAATATCATTAAGTACAAGTAAAACAGTTTTTTTTTTCTTTTTTTAACTTTCTTTTTTCATCTTTTTCTTTTTTCCTCCCACCCTTCCCAGAATTGGCATTATGCCTTTTTTCTGATAGCTCAAATAATTGTTGGTGTTGTCAGATATCAATAAAGTAGCTTATACCTTCTTATATACAATAGAAATTCATTCTTTTAGTAATATCATCACTGTTACCATTAACAATAGTTAAAACCCTCAAGTAGAGCAGAAAGATCAGTTTTGATCTTGGAGTTAACTAAGTAACAACTGGGAATACAGGAGTCAAAGAGCTGCCCTGAGCCTTGGTTTCCTCAACTACAGAATAAGATACTACCTGCCCATTTTACAGGGTTGTTATGAAAGGCAAATGAAAAATTGTAACAAGATTTTTGAACTATGAATTAAAAGGTTTATGATATTTTCTAAGTTTCCTTGAGTTATTTTCAATCTGTCCTGTATCTTTTCTGTGCTTCCTAGTAACGGTTCCTTTTTCTTTCTGTGAATGACACTACCAACATCTCCCATTTTCCTTTCCCCAACTACTTGACATCACACATTTTAAAAAATAGGCATTTCATCTTTTCTTTATCTCATAAGAGATATCACCTTGAGCAGACTGTGAAAGTCTTTTGAGAGTTCCTGAGGAATGTCGGGAAAATTACCCTCTCGGATACGGTGCCATGCATCACCATTGGTGGGTAATGACTCAGCTCCTGCAGCCATTGCAATTGTTAATCCCAAGGCAAATATGTCTGCTTTGGGAAGGTGCTGATAATCCTTCAAAAGAGAAGACAGGAAGGCCAGTTAGTATGCCAAGCAGATTGAGTGTCGACTAAACTACAACTGATAGGAAAGGTTCATTTGACTGCATGTAAGCTCTAAACAGACACTGTGGGCAAAGTTACATTCACTGCAGTTAGTGACTTATTTCTAGAGAAGATAAACAGAACACAAATCACCTGATTAACATTGCTGTGCCCTGAAGAGTCTAAGTCAGAATCTTAGTGCCATTTTGCTCTGTCAGGCTCAAAAAAGCTTGGTGAATAGATTGGCTGATCACAGTAAGGAAAGACTCATTTTTTTTCCCCTAATTATCACCCAGGAGGAAGTTATATCCTTCCTAGGCCTAACTCAGCAGAGATTGCAGAAGATGGGCAATGACTGACAGTTATTTCAATGACCAGAGCAGGTAGTGCTATCTGAAGGATAGCATGATAAATATGGATTAGGGCCAATATGGACTTGAGAAAAAGGGTTAGTAGTTAGTCCATGAGGTTAGGAATTCTAAGAAATATTAGAAACAGTAAAGGACCTTTAGAAAGAACAGTGTAAATATTGATTCATTCATCTTTGATTGAGCCAACTTTCCTCATACATTTTTTGGAAGAGTTTATCTCTGGTCTCTATTCTGAATGGGGAAAGATAAGTTTAAGTTATTATGTAAATATACACTTCTCATTTTTTGCACTGTGAGCCTTCATTTGAGAGTCAAAAGGTTCAGTGAATTACAGGACACCCTCTATTTCCCTAATCTGTACCTCTTGCAAAATCTCCTTAGCCAGGAAGCGACTGTCTCCTTCTTCTACTTTGGGTTCGCTTATTGATGTCACATGACCCAGGTCACCTAAAGAAAGATAAGAAAAAACAAAAGAGAAAAAAGAAATAGAGCTCTTTAAAAGTATGTCTTTATCTCCTCAAAGTAGAGGAGGAAACAAAAAATAGTAATTAAAAAGTTTTAAAAAAAATGTCTTTCTTAAAACTGGAATAAATGAGTCATTATTATAAGTTTTATAGGATAATAGTATACTGATAGGTATATAAGGCAAGCTCACCAATTTTGTATATCACATTGGCAGACAGAAACCAATCAGCTTCATTTTCAGCTTCTTCTAAGACTCCAGGGGAGTCACCTTGCATCCTGTGGCAAATGAAGATGTTACCTGAAAAATTACAGAATAGCAGTAAATAATGATTCCTAAGTTTTTTCACCTCAAAGATTCTTTTCTATATTTGACATTTAACTTCCCTCCTTTCTTCCTCTGTGTGAACACGGCAAGACTACTAAGGTTTCTTTTTATATTTGAAATCTCTCACACATCACTTCTGAGCAGCCAGTGATTGCTAACACCTATTTAAGTTAAACTGACACCATTTGTTCCCCACACTCTGGAGAAGCTGGTGGCAAGATACGGTTGTCTCAAAATTAACAAATACCACATAATAATGAGAATTTGTCCTTGGGTTTCACACCAATGATTGATAAAGCCATTCATTTCTGCTTACTTTATCAATGCTGAATTAGAGTATAGAACTAGTAGTAAAATAATTAGGATGTAGCCAACATGCTATCACTTACCTATGTGGTAAATTAAATACCTAATTCTATATTTTGTCCTCACTATATAGGCAAGATTTTTTTCCCTCTCTGTCCTTTGGGCCAAAGGGGGAAGTGGTTAAAGCTGTTAAACTCATTTTTTTTAGGAGAAACAAGTGGAAGAAAGGGATTCTGCTAACAAATACTATCTTTGACACTTGATATACACACAGGCAGAGATTTTAATGATGGTATGGAAACAAAAAAATATGGCAAGAAGAGCTGAAGGGAATCATACTGACTGGGTTTAATGTCCATGTGCACCATGCCAGCTTTGTGGATATACTTAAGTCCGAGAGAAATCTGTAGAAGTATATCCTTGAGTTTTGGCTCTTGGAAATGATTACCAGACTTGGCGTTTTCAGCTATAGCACCTTGCAAGCTCCCACCTGGGAAAGAACAAAGAATAGCCTCACAGAATTGGGGGAAAGATGTGAGTCTTACAGATGAGAACATAGTAAATACAACTGGCCCTCTATATTCTCAGGGGACTGGTTCCAGGACACCTCATTCCCCACAGATACAATCCAAGAATGCTCAAGTCCCTTATATAAAATGACATCATACTATATTCAATAAATTCATCATAAATGACTTCAATCCAACAAGTCTAGACTAGTTCAGTGTCTCTGCAAAGCATAATAATATCTTCCCCTATCTATACCACAGGCATACTGGAAAGAATTACAGAGCTTTTAAAGAAGAAAATGCCAGTACCTCATGTATCCAATAGTATATGGCCCTACTGCTTCAAGTATGTGCCAACTAAAAGTTTTAAAGTTTTACTTAATTATTAATCAGATGGCCAATCAGGCCTAGTCATATGGCTACCATTAGTAGAAATGATTAATCCCACATCAGTGTCAGGCTACTTTATAGGCTGTTAGTAATTTTAATGTAACTGATGCTAAGTCCAATTTAATTAAAAAATAAATCATAAAGTCAGAACATTTAATGGTTGCTGACCCAAGGAAAATATAAATACTCTATATGCACCTAAATCTTCTTTGAGCTACACTATTTGTACATGAACTGCAGACTGTCTTGACTTATCATCATCACCAACAAAAAAAATAGGTTCATATAACTACTTGATATTGATTCTAAGGTATTGGAATGCTTCTGAACACTTCATTAATTAGCACTTGTTGTCAGGTTCTTCAAATTATAGAGTCCCAGCTCTCACTGACAGTTACAAAGCCCATAGAGTTCCACCCTTCAAGTACATATCAGAACAATAGGATCTGAGAGAGTAATGAAATTTTTGAGAAAATCAGTATTTAAAAATGTCCTGTACAAAATTGAATTTAAAGATTTATCTCTCATGCTAAAATAACTAAGTTCAGATGGGAAAACATTCAGCCCCTTTCAGAAACACAGGGAGGGCAACAGTAATGTTATTTTTCTGGGAGTCTTCTTAGAAAATAATTTACATACTACCTAAGTACTACATACTTATTAATTAGAAAGAAGGAATAAGGAAAGAGAACATTTTAGAGTTTGTTAAAAACAAAGTCACTCCAAGACAAAGTTTGTAGGTGAGGCTATGGGGTGTTGTCAACAGGAAAGAGGAAGGCTGTATCCACTGGAACTCTTGATTCCCTACTAGCTTGGTTGTTCCTTAAAGGCAGGAACCACATCTAATCCATCTTCGCTCTCAAGGTCTGGCATGCAATGTTTTCTGAATGGAATGCTTATCTTGGCAACAGAGAGGAAAGAAAGAATAAGTCAAGGACCCCTTAAAAGGGGAAGGAAAGCATCCTGGAAGTACTTAGGAATTTTTAATATGTTCTTTTGGATTATAAACAGAGATATTTCTAATCCTCTGAAGAGCCAGAGGTATTTGGTAAGGACAACTAAACCAGTGCCAGCATTACTTTTAAATATCTAGAAGCTATGTAAGTAAGATTAAAGTTAGCCAAGTAATAGTTAACAATAGAACTGAAAGGTACTCATTTACACATAAGTGTTAGATATCTTGATTTTGCTATAGCTAAAGCTGATTGTCTGCCTCTTACAGAAGAGTTTAATGAAGTGCTGTTTAGTAAACAGCATCAGTAAGGAAGTGTTTATAGACATAGGAATACTGAATGAACTGTGAGCTTCATCCCTACTCATCCCATCAGCCACACTGGAGCCTTAACTCCATAACCCAAGGTACTACACCTGGAGATGGCTACTGTCATTGTAACCACTATACCCAAGGAGGAAACATCTGGCTAATGGAAGGCTCTTCTCAAGCCATCTTTGTGAGTTTCTACCTTAAAATAGTAAAATAATAACTTTACCCAATTGACGGAAAGGAAAAAAACCTTAAGAATATAGCTTTTTTTCCTCTCTGCTAATGTGGCCTACCAGATAACAAAATAAAGAAATGCTTTCTAAAAATAAAATGTAAAGTAGATCAGTAATTCAACATTCTCACAATATTTTATGTTACTATCTGTAACACAAGCATACTTTTCTGTTGGTAAAGTTGTTTCTTGTTTGGTAGAAAAATATAACTAATATTCATGGTTTTCCACAGAGGACACTGACTTCTGGATGTCACATCATCCAGACAAGTGTAAGAACCACCATCCTGACCATGATTGATACAACCTTCAGTGACAGAAGCTATCACAAGAAAATACTGCCTTTAGGGAGAGATTAATAGTCCAATCTTGGATCAGAATCCTAGAGGTTGCAGAACCAACCCACTACTGGATATCCTTTCATATTTCTAAGGCTGACCCAGAGGTAACTTGTAGGGAATCTTGGCAAGAATGGGGAGGAGGGAACATTCAACTGGTTCTGAGTTCAGGAGTACAGTAGGGAAAATAAGATGACTACTCGTCTCTAACAATAGTCATCTAACTTATAACCTAGGTTTCTAAATCATCTAATTTATAATCTAAGCTAAAATCATAACTGTACAGGTTTCAACCTGACTGCTATGATAAGCTAGGGAAAAGGGTAGATGTGGAGAGAGAAGGGCATGAGGAGGAATAGGTAAGATGGTGGGTCTAAATAAAGGATGGTAAGTCCAAAGTATTTGTAAGGTAGCAGAGTAGCTAATGCCTCATTCCTTTACTCCCTTCTCCCCTCCATCTCTTACCCCCCACACACACACACCACCCTTTGGTATTATCTTTTTTTTTTTTTTTTTTTTTTGAGACAGAGTCTCACTTTGTTACCCAGGCTAGAGTGAGTGCCGTGGCATCAGCCTAGCTCACAGCAACCTCAAACTCCTGGGCTCAAGCGATTCTGCTGCCTCAGCCTCCCGAGTAGCTGGGACTACAGGCATGCACCACCATGCCCGGCTAATTTTTTCTATATATATTAGTTGGCCAATTAATTTCTTTCTGTTTATAGTAGAGACGGGGTCTCGCTCTTGCTCAGGCTGGTTTCGAACTCCTGACCTTGAGCAATCCGCCCGCCTCGGCCTCCCAGAGAGCTAGGATTACAGGCGTGAGCCACCGCGCCTGGCCCCTTTCTTTGTTAGTAGCTAAAAGTCATGTAAACAAAACCAGTCTTCCTCATAGAAGAAGGAAAAATAATAGTGAATCTCAGGTTGCAATAAGAGGTAATTAGAAGAGCAGACGATTAAAGAAAAGGCTCAACATCTCAACCATAAGTATAAGGAAAGGATCCATTTTTTCTCCAGAGAGACATTAGAAAAAAGTATTTGGGGTAAGCTTATGAGAGGGAAGAAAACCTACCGAGTTCACAGGTAAGCTACAAGGAAATCTGTCTATAAGGAAACAAGAGAAATGCCAAATAATTATTTTGTAGGATGTGTGTACCATTTTCTATATTTCTAGCATTTCATGTTATTTACTTACCTATTTGTTTGCTTATTTATATAATGATGGAGTTTTAACACTATCCTCAAAGCCAGACTGGACATAAATACTCAGGGCCATCTGGTGTTTGTAAGTATTATGAAAAGACAGACTGTACTATTAAAGAAACTTATGTTGTAAGCTATTTTTCTATTTAAAAAACAAATAAACAAACAAAAACTCAGGGTGGTTGTGCATGAAGGAGAAGGGTGTTGTTATCAACAATTTCTGTAGCCAGATTATGGATTGCTACTCCTAAAATAAAGGCAAGCTTCTATTCAATTTATAGCACTTTATTATATCACCACTGAGCATTTTGATGAAAATTATTTCCAAAACTAAACACGTAACTGCTGTTCTGTTGACCCTTGATCATAGATTAGAAATATGTTAAACCAAAGGATACTCTTTTTTATCTAAAGCAGCCCAGAGAACAGTGTTACTGGTTACTATGTATGTATGGTTCTGAAGTCTCAGAAGAATATGTTTGAAGTCACCAGGTTTCAGTCTCAGCTCCCTGGGCCCCATGCCCTTACTCTGGTGAGAACACAAAAGCTCAAAGGTAAGCAGCAGCAAGAAGCATGAACAAACCACCAACTCAAGAATCCACTTGAAAAATCAATCAGTAGTTGTCTATACACCAAATCAATGCATGATGAAGAAAGTTTACCTCCCATCTCCCAAAAAGTGATAGGGACCATGGCTTATATCTTTCAGAATACCTAGTAAATGGTAAAAGGATGATTTACCATTAAATCACTAAGGTAAAAGTTTTCTCTTTAAGTGTTAAGTGGGAGTGGAGTGATAGCTTCTATGTATCAGCTACACACCAGCTTTGAAGGAAATACATAATATATGAGCCTGGAAATTTCTTTTCAATTCATTTTTTCCAGCTCTCTGCTTCCAAGTAAGACTATAATACAGACTTTTTAGGTAAAACTCTGCTATACTTGGCACAAATGTGAGGAGGTGGCAAAGTTTATTTCTGAAGACTTGTACGTTTATCTCCCTCCCAGTAGATATCAGCCCACCTACTTACCATTGCAGTATTCATTCTGAATGATCATGTGGTCGTCTTCTGCCCATGAGGAGTAGTAACGCACCACGTGGGGGTGATGACCAAGCACTGCATGAGCATAAACTTCATGCAAAGCCAAATTCCTAAGAGACAGAAAAGTATTGAAAGGGAGAGGGGGGGAAATCAAGATAATATATATAAACATTTTTAAAAGACAGGATATTATTAACAATGGCAAAACATTTATCAAGTGCTCACTGCTTTCTTACTATTTTATCTCATTTAATCTTCATAGTTACTTGGTAAGATACATTGGGAAAGACGAAGACCCTAGAAAGCAAGTGGCCCAAAGTCAAACTGGTAGTAGTAGACCTAAGACCAGAACTTTTGTCAGCCTGGTACCAAAACCTGCAATTTTTTTTATTTTAATGGAGCATATGTAAAGAGGATCCTTAGGTTGTTATGCCTCAACAACAGACATGCTTCAGGTCCTAATTTCATTGTATCAAAATAAAAACACCTTAACAGGCTTAACAAGAAGGCCACCACACATGTGGTTGTGGATATTGTGATGGGCCTGTGATCTTCTCTTTGAAGCCTAGACAGTACTTAGAGTCGATGATCAACTCAAGCCAGGTGCGGTGGCTCACGCCTGTAATCCTAGCACTCTGGGAGGCTGAGGCGGGCGGATTGCTCAAGGTCAGGAGTTCGAAACCAGCCTGAGCGAGACACCGTCTCTACTATAAGTAGAAAGAAATTAATTGGCCAACTAATATACATAGAAAAAATTAGCCGGGCATGGTGGCGCATGCCTGTGGTCCCAGCTACTTGGGAGGCTGAGGCAGAAGGATTGCTTGAGCCCAGGAGTTTGAGGTTGCTGTCAGCTAGGCTGACGCCATGGCACTCACTCTAGCCTGGGCAACAAAGTGAGACTCTGTCTCAAAAAAAAAAAAAAAAATGTTCAACTCAGCCAATATCATATAGTCATAGGAACAACCTTGGGGAGAGAGATTCATTATGGGATGGGAAAGCTCAACACAAGGAAAGCAAAATAGAGTACTTCATGAATTTCAGTATAAATAAAAAATTTTTAAGCCTATAGTTTCAGATTCCACATGTTAAGTATTTTACCGGAAGGTAAAAAGCACTGGCTGAATCTGAAAATGTGTGTTTTCCTTGTGATCAAGGAGGAACTTTGGAACAGTTAGTTCTGGGAATGGAATATAAACTTCTGTTAATAATTTTTCCTTGCATTGTAGTCTCTGAAACTTGACTATTGAATTCATTAATACCAAGTAAAGAAAAACCGGTGAGTTAACTTCCTTCTTGGCAATATTTCTGATGAACTAAACAGACATCAGAAGACCATTCCATAAAGCTATTCATTTCTAAAAGGCAGTAGGACCAGCAGTAGAAAGTAAAAGCCAAGATCCACAAAAAATATAACATGATCTGAAAAGATCAAGTTATGTTTTAGGAAATAATCTATCACTGATCTGGAAAACTCAGAAAGGTTATGAATGTGAGACAATATACAATGAGTGAGTTGATTTTTTAAAAAGCAAGCAAAATGTTTCTAATGACATCAGTGCTATTATTTAAAATATTTTGATAAGAACCAGCTGTCCAAACCCAAGCTTGTACTTCTAGTACATTTCAAAAGTACTCACTCATTTGATAATTCTGCAAAAGATTTCATAGAGCGCTTTATTGCATAAACACATCCATCCAGCCTCTTAATGCACTTGTAGACTGTACCAAATTCACCAACCCCAATTTTTTCTACCTCCAAGAATTCTTTTTCATAGCGGGAAGCCATGTTGGTTTCTCGTAGAACACATCTCTAAAATATTTTAATAAAAACAAAATTAGAATAATTCTAACACTATGAGCAATAAAATTGAACCATATTGTATTCCTAACTTTATCTAAGGTTTCAAAAAAACTTCTGATGCAAATGCAATGAATTCTGTGTCAATGTTTATGGCAGTAAGAATCTCCCCAATTGCTGAGTACCTTCTGTGTTCTCTGTAACCTTCCATACAACTCTATACCAACCTTTCTCTCATATATTTTTCAATATTATTTTCTCTATCATACTGTTCTTCTCTGTATGTTCCTACAGGGGACATATCTTCTCACATCCAGAGCTACTGTCCTCAGAATGGGTGGGAGCAGGGGGAGCATGTTTTTTGTGTTTTTTTTGTTGTTGTTGTTTTTCAAAGACCTCCCTTCTCTACTTATCACAAAGTTTAGGTGCTAATGTTTCCATCTCAAGTTGAATAAACATACTTTTTGTTTTCCCCAAAATTTTAGTCTAGGGAACAAAATTGTCAACTTGATTAGTTCAGAATGTGTGCTCAGGTAAAGCGACCCCTCCCCCTACTAGCCAACTAGCAACATCACTCATTGCCCAGCTAGTGTAATAAATAATCCCAGGCAAATCATTGAACTCCTAAAAGAGTTTTCTCCTCTGTTAGATGAAGATCATAGCAATAATCCTCAGAGTTCTTTTACATATTATATGAGAATATACATTGTAGGTCTTTTAATATTATAATATACATCATATTACATACGTTTTATGTAATATATATTAGTATAATGCCAAGCACATAGTAAATTCTCAGTAAACTATTGTGACCAAAATCTCCATAAATGTATATGAATCTAAATCCAAGGAGATTTCTCTCTCCCAATGTCATCTTTTCCCAGTGTCCCAATTAGGAATATTTTTCTTCTTCTAACCTTATGAGTATGAAAAATCTTGGTTCTTACTACCTCTTCACTTTCAACATCTAATTCCAATCCAAGATCTATTCCAAAGCAAGATGTATAATTTTCAGTGCCCTTAGCCAGTCTCAAGCTCTGTTTCTTCTATGTCTGAATTTGCTGCCTTTCCAATTCCTCTAACAGTAAGAGCTATTTTTGCAAAATAATACAATATTAGAGATACCTAATTGTTTCCCATGAGAAATTCAAGCTTCTGATAAGAGGCCTCAAGGCCTTCTACCAGTCCCATACCTACTACCTTACCACCCTCCCCTCAGATGGTAAAGAAACCAGTGTGCCATCCACATCCTTCCCTGGCCACTCACCAGCCTACCCTACCCCTCTCATACATCAAACCCATTTTCCTGCCTTCACAGCATTAAAAGTTATTTATTTCCTTCACCTAGAATTATCTTAATGTATTATCTCTTCTACTCAAGTCTGGCTTCCTACTATAAGTATTTTTATTAAACCTCCATATAGATTTTAAATATACACATGAGTATTTATATATACATTACACATATGTACATACACATATACCTACAAATACATACATCTTATAGCTTCACATTTGTGTAGAGATTGTTTTCAAATTTGAAAGGTCTTAGCTCCTCTTGGGCAGTAACTTTCATATAGATTTTTTTCATTAAAGGGTCTAACTAAATACAATGCTTTGCACATATTGAATAGTCAATAAATGTTCTTGGCATTTCTTCTGAAACCAAGAGATAAGCTATAAAATAAGTCAGGAATAAAATCCAAAGGTAAATAGCAAAAGCATAAATCAGAAACATTTGCATATGAAAGAAAGCCTAAGCCAGTGGCTTTCTTCCCTAGGATGTTTACAATAGCCAAGTGCTAACATTTTAACATATTAACACATTTTTGAAAATAAAATAAAACTTTCTTCAGAAAACTTTAGAAATTTGAAGGAAAAACAAACTTTAAGTTTCCACCATTCAAAGACATTAAAATAAAAGTGATAATACTTCCATCTAATTAATTCTGTGATCAATGTGTCGTACAGAGTTGTGATCATTCAACATATAAATTTTTGAGTCTTTTTGTACACTGAATATTGAATATGGGCAAGTTTTCATGATATTGTAAACAATATCCACTGATTTAAAACTAGGGGGGGACATGGGCAATATATGTAACTTTAACACTTGTACCCCCATAATACACTAAGCATTTTTAAAAAATGCTTAAAAATAAATAAATAAAACTATAATTAACTCTTAGTCATTCTTCAATTATCAGGCATTTAGCCCCTCCTTTTTTTTTTTTTTTTTTTGCTATTACAGTAACATCTCTGGAGATAATATTTACAGTATTGTTTTCTCAAGTTAGATTATCAAATGAGGGATAGTAGATCAGAGATTGTGAACATTATAAAAATAAATACTGGCATACTTAAGAGTTAAAGTTTTACATATAAATGTCTGGCTCTATGCCCTTTTTGTTCCATTCCATTTTTCCATTTTGAGACCAAAAATATCTCGATTTTCCTTTCACTTCTCTACTCCAGGAGTTTCTACAGATCAAATATAGAAGCAGAAATCTTTAAAAATAATCTAAGGGTAATGATTCAGCAATATACGTATCAGACATTGCCTGGCAAAGTAAGAACTAGCTAAGAATATAGACCCCGACTGGAGTCCAGACAAATTCAGCTGCAGTTGTAAAGCATTTGTAAAGCTACAGAGAGAGAGAGAGTGTGTGTGTGAGATAGAGCATGCACACGCAAGCAAAAGTGAGAGAACGTGGAGGAGAGAGGGAAAGAGGAAGGGGGAAAATGGGAGAGGGACCAGAGGAGGGAGGCAAAGGGGCCAGGGATGGAGAGAAGAAGATAAAATGCCTATGTTGTGACAACTAGACCAAAGAACCATGCTCACCTTGGCAGGCAGCCCTTGTTCGTCCTTGGATTCCTCTGGACCAGATTCCTCACTTAAGGAAAAAAAAAAGTTACATCAATGTATGATTAACATTTATTGAGCCTGGTACTATGCTAGGTTCTGGGGTTATAAAACTAAATAAGACAATTCCTTCCTCTCTTCAATTATATTTGGATTCAGGGATAACCAGCAAATTTCAATATGAGAACCTAGGAGAAGAACCTAGGAGAAGCTATCAAGGATACCATGGACAGCACCCAGTTAATTATTCTGGGTATAAAGCCTTCCCAGAAAAGAGGATACATAAACTAAGATGCTGAGAATGAGTAGAAACTAGCTAAGGTAAAGGAGGGTTTTAGGCAAGTAGAACACCATGTGTTAAGCTGGAGGAAAGAGTACAGAATGTATGTGAAACTCTTAAGCTGAGATTATCCTCACATGAGGAAACCAAGGCATAAAGAGGTTAAATAACTCTAGGTGATACAATGAAGCAAGTGGTAGAACTGGATGTGGATCCAGGTCTGATGCTAAGGCATTTGCTCTTCACTGCCACACTACACTCTCCCAATACCACCCGCAGTCCCCAGAATTTAGCTTTGTACTCAGTTCACAGGTAGACTATAAGTAGAGCAGAATCAGCTCTCACCCTGGCTAAGATATTTTCAGTTACTTTTCAATAAGCTGAAGTCACTGACAAACATCCTCTTTGGCATGAGTAGTTGTATTCTGGATCCTTAACCAAGATTTTGGCCAGCTATAGATTTTTCTTTTCAAGAAGTACAAGGTAAAAATGGCAAACAGAGGGCACTACATTCATGGAAATAAACTAATGTTGGATATTTGTGACTTAAATGTAATACTTCATATCTCCATTCTAATACTTTATAAAATACCACCACAATGAGGGAGAAAGTACCCTTTCAGGACCACTAAGTGAGGTTACTGAAGTTACCACTTTCATTGCCTTTTTTTGTTTGTTTGTTTTTGCTGGCTTCAGTTAGGATTCTAATTGTTTACAAAGACTCCTAAAGAGTTAAAACCAGGGCCGGGCATGGTGGCTCAGGCCTGTAATCTTAGCACTCTGGGAGGAGGCCGGGGCGGGCGGATTGCTGGAGGTCAGGAGTTCCAAACCAGCCTGAGCAAGAGCGAGACCCATCTCTACTATAAATAGAAAGAAATTAATTGGCCAACTAATATATATAGAAAAAATTAGCTGGGCATGGTGGCTCATGCCTGTAGTCCCAGCTTCTTGGGAGGCTGAGGCAGCAGGATTGCTGGAGCCCAGGAGTTTGAGGTTGCTGTGAGCTAGGCTGACGCCACGGCACTCACTCTAGCCTGGGCAACAAAGCAAGACTCTGTCTCAAAAAAAAAAGAGCTAAAACCAATAGAATTCTTGGTAACCAAAGTAGGCGGGTGTACTTATGCTACAGTCCTGTTTATTTAAGTAAGATTCAGCAGCTGATGCCACGGCACTCTAGCCCGAGCAACAGAGTGAGACTCTGTCTCAAAAAAAAAGTAAGATTCAGCAGATAGTGTTGAGAAAACCTATTCTGGCCACAGACTGGTTAATACATAATCATTGATTCCAAAGAAATAACATAACACAGTCAGTGCTCTGCAAAGCTGCTATTATTAGCAGTCCATTTGTTTTACTGAGTACATTTGAACATAAATGGCTGCCCCATTTGAGAGGTGCTACCCATCTATAAAAAAGTCTTGAAGAGACATAGTAAAGGAGTGTCCCAGAGTAACATGCACAATCCTATTTGGATGATTTCTACCATTTAGTGGCCTGTGTGGAATAGTGCAGTTTGGCTATCTATTGTTTAGCACCTCTGGAAGAAACACTAACTTTTTCCCTTCAGCCAGCCTTCCATCACCCGCAGAGAAGTTCAATTCCTTGCTCTATAGCTTTTATCACCACACAAGCTAGACTCAAAGCAGCAATATACCCTTTGAAGTGTGAACTACACCTTCCCCAACTGCTAGCCTCATATTAACCAGGGGAGACCCCTCGAATGCAATTTTATTGCCCATTTAACATCCTAATGGAAGTTGGAGATCTACTGTTTACTCTGTCCTGATCTTTTATAGAGAAGACATCTACAGTATACATCAGAATGGAAAGATGTTAGAATCTCTGTGCCAAAGCAGGTTAAAAATCAACATTGACATTTAGGGTGGGGAGAATATGTAAACATACCAATTTCATTCAAATAGAATTCTTTTAATCTTACTTTAACTCTTCACTCTTACTCTTTGACTATAGTAAGGTGAGTTCTCAAAGGTCATGAGCAACAGTACACTTACAGATCTCCTCGGATTTTCCTCTTGCCGCTGGATTGAAGGAGTAATTTTCTATAGGACTCTGGAGTGAAGGGATTAATATTGACCAGAGCCAATGAGGCCATCTCATTCCTGAGGGGAACAGGTGTGAGCTTCAAATGCTTAGAGCCTTTGGAAGTAAGCTTCCCTGCTGGAGAAATTGCCAAGTGGCTCAGTGTGCTCTGAATGAGGAGGACAAAAGGCAAGTCAGAAAAAGGTTAGTAAAAACAGCTCTGTATCGATTACCTAGTTTAATATTTGAGCCAAAGAATGTTATTGCTAAAAGGGGCCTGAGAAGTTACCTGGTTCAGTGCAAACTAGTTGCATTGTAACTAGACTTCTTGTGAAAACTACAGAATTTCAGTCTCTGCCTCTAGCTGTTGGTTCATGAGTCAACACAGGAATCTGTACTTTTGTTAAGCTCCACCCTTTTTCCCTGGGCAGTACTGCTAGATCGCTATGAAAACCACCAATTATAGTCTTACCTTCAGTTTTTAAAGATGAGATATTTAAGTTTAGACAAACAAAAATGACTATATAGAAGACCTGGTCCCCTGGTCCTTAGCTTCTCTCAGTTTATACTCTAACTTACCCCTAATTATTCATTCAGATATTTGTTTGGTGCCTACTAAGTAGCAGATGCAGTAGATACTGAGTGATACAGAGATAAAGTCCAGTTCTTAAGGAATACATAGTCCATTAGTCAGAAGTTTAGTATTTCAGAAATAACCACTTTGTAAGGGAAAGATTTCATGTACTATCTAAATGTGAAAAAAAAAGTTTTTGATTTCATTTAAAATATAGCATTAAATAAGAAGACCTCCATGAAATGGGATAAAAAGATTGAAAAACAGTACTCTAAAATAACCCTTTAAGATTCAGGGCTTTGCAGAAGCTATAATAGCTATCAACAAACAGACATATGTGCCGGAGTACAGAAAGAGGACATAGGCCTAAACCTAACCAGAACTAAACCAAAGGGCAAAGGGAAAAGCCAAATAATCCTGAGACAGCAGAATGCCATTATGGCCCAAGTGCCAAGGGCCAGAGGAATACCTGTGTTATAGATTTTAGGAGTACAATAGCCCACATGGGGCCATGATGGAACCACACAGCTACTCATTGCACTGTGGGACTCTTTCTAAAAGAATTCCATTGGCTGGGCGTGGTGGCTCACGCCTGTAATCCTAGCACTCTGAAGCGGATGGATCACTCAAGATCAGGAGTTCAAAACCAGCCTAAGCAAAAGTGAGACCCCGTCTCTACTAAAAATAGAAAGAAATTAATTGGCCAACTAAAAATATATAGAAAAAATTAGCCGGGCATGGTGGTGCATGCCTGTAGTTCCAGGTACTCAGGAGGCTGAGGCAGAAGGATCACTTGAGCCCAGGAGTTTGAGGTTGCTGTGAGCTAGGTTGATGCCACAGCACTCTAGCCCAGGCAACAAAGTGAGACTCTGTCTCAAAAAAAAATAATAATAATAAAATAATTCCATTGTTTTGATACTCTCTGCCCATGACTTTTCAGTGTAGAAGCAGAAACCAGACTATAATATGATTCATTAAATAATGTGAGTCTACAGAGAATGAATATTGGGCTTATCAATACTCAATAAATGATTGAATAAACAACAAAAAAAAAAGGAAGCTATAGAGTACACATAGTAGCCTAACTTTTTAAGTGAAGAAAAAAATTCCATTGCCAAAGTAAAGGGTTTTACATAAGTCTTGGATATCACAGGGTGAACAATCCAGGGGGCGATCAGCAGACAAAGCCCTCACTGACAAACTCTCAATTTTCCTGTGAGTTTATCATAAGGACTGAATGAGTATTGGTTCAAAATAAGCAAAACTACATAATGATATTTATCAGTTATTAATGTAATTAGGAAATGAACTTAGAATTATAGTAAATCATTCTCTGAGAATTATTTTTCTGTAATGCTAATTATCTTATGGAAAGTAAAACACATCTGTCACATACGAAAGTAGGGTACCTACACCTGGAATGCTGCACATAGTTCTGGTTGCCACACCTCAAGGAAAACACAAGGGGCCTAGAAAATGTTTGGATGAAAAGAAAGAAAAGTATTTTCCTATGAGACAACATCTGAATTTCTAGTCTGGAAATACGAAGGCCAACGATCTGTGAGCTCTGTTTATGATGTGGGGAAGGATCTTATATTAATATGGACCTATGGCCAGAATAGTACAAATATGGGTAATCTTTCTGAAATCTAAAAGAACATAGTTTGAGGCAAGAAATATGAAAGGAAGTTCTTCCTGGAAGTAAAGCAGATTGAAATTTCTGGAAAGATGACACAAGTTGGGGATATAAATGTGCTTCAAAGAGTGTAGATAATTCCATAAGTTGCAGCTCTAGCACAGGTGATGATCAAAGGAGATAAGGGAAATTTGGGAGATAGCTTGACTTCTGAAAATGGTCAGGGGAAAAGGCAACCTTCCACAAAGAGACAGGTTCATAGTATCTTGGAACTAGGAAGGACTTTAAAGGCACAATTGGTACAATCAGTCCCCTGTTGCATGGATCCTTTCTACAATGTTCCTACCAAGTGGTCATCAACTAGTGTTCATCTAGCCACAGGGATCTTACTACCTCCTAAAGATGTTCTTCTGTCTCTAGATAATTCTTCCAGGAAGTCCTTATGGTGAACTGAAATCTATTTCACATAATTTCTGGTTCTGTCCCCTGCACAAGGCTGAATTAAGCCAATTATTCTTTCTTATATAGCCTTGTCTTCAGCATAACAATCATCATCAGCCTAGCCTCTCTCCTCGGATTTTGATCCAAATTACATTTTCATGAGGTATATACTTTCTCAATTATTTTTCCAGTTTTCCTCCCAAGCCTTGTTCTCTGCCTATCCCTTAATCTTGGCATTATCCAAGATTTCTAATTTTGTCACTTTTCTTATTCTAGCACTCAGACTACATGTTCTTATTCCCACCCATGCCTTCAACAGCTTCCTAAAAAGAAATATTGTATACTAATAATAGATATTCAAAGATGAATATCTCTAAATGTGGATATCCAAATATGGGTTTCTAGCTTTGATTTTCTTCCCATTTATCCAATTATGTACACCACATTTCTGCTTTTTTCCAAACCTATACACCCTCAGGTATCACCTGTCTTGATTCAAGATACCATCTTCTCAGTCAACCAAGCAAGAGACATTAGTCATCCCAGATTCCTCCTTTTTGTCTAACCCCTCCATGAAGTCAGTTACTAATCCCCAAACATCTCTCTGTTTTCCCTTCTCCATTCTCAATGGAACTATTGTGAGTAGTACCCTGCCTCCAGGCTCTCTCCTGCTCCATTCCATCCTATATGCAAAAGTCATTTTTCAAAAATGCCCCTACTCAAAACCATTTAATGGTTCTCTCAACACTTGGAGTATAAAATCTTGATCTAGCTTCTGCCTGCCTACTCTAGCCACATCTCCTGCACACTCTCACATATAAACCCCGTCACACCAAATAACATGCAGTTTCCCAAGTACAGCATGCTCTTTCCCCTCCATAACTTGGTGGATGCTTTTCTCTTTGCCTGGAGTTCCCACTCCCTTCTTTCCCTACTAACTCCAAATCATTCTTTTAGAATTTTCTGCAAGATGGCGGATGAGAAACACCACCAGAGTGTCTCTGCAGAAAAGACAGATTCTAGCAGAAATTAGAAAAAAGAAGCAAGACGACGAGCATACAGCAGACGAGGGCCAGAAGGAGGGGTACCTGAGACCCCAGGAGACTCCACGGGAGGAGGCTGCGGAGGAGAACTGGAAGCTGAGACCACCTGAGCAGCCCAGAGACCAGCGGGAAGGGTAGGTGGATAAGTCACCTTTCCCCTCCCCTGCATTTGGGACTGCTGGTGGGCTCCCCAGCGGGTGGAGAGACCTATGGACACCAGTCCAGAGACGGCCACCGCCAGCTAGTGGTGAGCCTGTAGCGGACACGGCACCAGACTCCCAAATCCCTCGGGGCACCTCCATGTGCACAGACCCAAGCCGCGTGGCAGACACCATATTGCCTCCTCTTCCCCTCCGCTGACCCTACCCGCGGCTGCCCAGAGAGACAATACAGCCACCAGCCAGAGGCACCTCCAGAGAACTGGACCTTCCCTTTTGGGACCCTACAGCTGACTAAGGGGAACTCAGACTGTAAGCTCCCTATCCACCAGCCTTCCCAGGTGCTGCTGGCATGGTGATCCCAGGAGAACGGTGCCGACTCAGACGCTGAGAGACACAGATCCAGCTTGGGCTCCCTGTGGGTGAATTGGGACCAGAACTCCTTTCCCTGGTGGGGATACAGTTTGAACGCTGGGACCCAGAGGTCAGACCTGCAGACCAGATCCCATGCACCTAGGTCTAGCATTGCCGAGGACACAGAAGGGATATACGTGAACAGCCTACTGAGGTGTTTGTGCCTTAAGGGGCAGATCAGCATCCTAGAGGGCAACCCTCCTCCCAAAAGGAGGCCATATGCCCAGCCCAGGTAGTGTTCCTGGGCAGGGAACCTCCCCGCCGGCATCACAGTCCGGGGAGGCCTGGTGGCGTGTGGTCTGGCCTGCTGGCAGAGGCCAAGGAGTAGCTGTGGAGTTGGGGAGGGTGGAAAGAAGCGAAGCCCGCTACAGACTGCGGCTCTCAGACAGCCCCACCCCCACACACAGACTTTCTGGCTGAGCTGGACCATTCCAGCCCCACCCTGACAGCTTTTCCTGGAAGCAGAGAACAGAACTTTGACCCCTGCTAATGGCATTGGTGGTGCCTGAGGGCAGCTTCCCAACCCAGCTCTGCCCAGAACAAGAGCTGATAACAGGACACAAAACAACAGCATAGCCTGTTCCTCCAAGCAAGTGCCACCTACTGACAGGGACGGCAACTGCAAAGCCTTTTCACAGCACCCACTGACTCATTATAGAGGGAGTGGTCGAATCTCACCCACAGATACCACCTAACGGCTCAGAAACTAAACAAGGGTGTGAATACCCAAACAAAAACTAAGGGGCCGGGTGTGGGTGCTCACGCCTGTAATCCTAGCACTCTGGGAGGCTGAGGTGGGCGGATTGCTCGAGTCAGGAGTTCGAAACCAGCCTGAGCAAGAGCGAGACCCCATCTCTCTATAAATAGAAAGAATTAATTGGCCAACATATATATATATACAACACACACACAAAAAAAAATTAGCCGGCCATGGTGGCGCATGCCTGTAGTCCCAGCTACTTGGGAGGCTGAAGGCAGCAGGATTGCTTTGAGCCAGGAGATTGAGGTTGCTGTGAGCTAGCTGACGCATGGCAACTCACTCTAGCCAGGCAACAAACGAGATCTGTCTCCAAAAAAAAAAAAAAAACCTAAGGAAGGAACTACAATGATCGACATGGGAAGAAATCAGCAAAGGAACTCAGGAAATATGAAGAACAAGCGGAAACACACCCCCAAAGAGGAGCACCAGCCCTAGAAACGTCACCAACCCAAATCAGGCAACCAAAATGACAGAAGAGGAATTTCGTATGTGGATCATAAGAACACTCACCGACCTGCAACAACAACTCAATAACAACACAAAGAACACAAAAAGCCTCCAGGACCTAGAAGAAAAGTTCACTAAGAAATAGACACAATGGCCGGCGCGGTGGCTCACGCCTGTAATCCTAGCTCTTGGGAGGCCGAGGCGGCGATTGCTTAGGTCAGGATTCAAACAGCCTGAGCAAGAGCGAGCCCGTCTCTACTATAAATAGAAAGAAATTATTGGCCAACTGATATATATAAAAATTAGCCGGCATGGTGGCACATGCCTGTAGTCCCAGCTACCTCGGGAGCTGAGGCAGAAGGATTGCTCGAGCCCAGGAGTTTGAGGTTGCTGTGAGCTAGGCTGACGCCACGGCACTCACTCTACCTGACAACAAAGCGAGACTCTGTCTCAAAAAAAAAAAAAAAAAAAAAAAAAAAGAAATAGACCAATGAAGAAAAGTTTAACCTAACTCCTGGAAATGAAAACTCAATACAGGGAACTACAAAATACAGTGGAAAGTCTCAAGAACAGGGTAGATCAACAGAAGAAAGACTCAAGAGCTTGAAGATAACACCCCCCGCAATTAAATAAAACCGCAAAAGAGATAGAGCAGAGAAACAAGAGAAAGAGCAAGCCTACAAGAGATGTGGATTTGTGAAAAACCTAATGTGAGGGTCATAGGGTTACCAGAAAGGAAGAAGACAACACTTAAGGGTTGGACAACTATTTGAAGATATAATAGAGGAAAATTTCCCAGCCTTGCTCAAATCTCGATATACAAGTTCAAGAAGCTCAGAGGACCCCTGGGAGATTCAATGCAAACAGGAAGACGTCACTACATGCAATCATCAGACTGACCAAAATAACAACTAAAGAGGCCCTTCTAAGAGCTATAAGACAAAAGAAGCAAGTGACATACAAGGGAAGCCAATTCAAATACAACAGACTTCTCTAATGAGACTTTACAAGCAAGGAGAGACTGGGCCCCATTCTCACTCTTCTGAAACAAAACAATGCCCAGCCTAGAATCTTATTCCTCAAAACTAAGCTTCATATATGAAGGATAAATTAAGACATTTCTCAGACAACAAAGTCTCAGAGAATTCACCAAGACAAGACCAGCCTACAAGAAGTATCAAAACAGTGTTACGCACGGAACACTACTAATAAAAACTCACGAATATAAAAACAACCAAAACCAAAGATTAAAGCCCAGATTACAATGGCTCAGAGAGAAATCAAAGCAACAACATCCAACCCAACAGAATGAACAGTAATCTACCTTACCTATCAGTTCTCTCAATAAATGTGAAGGGCTTAAACTTCCACTTTAGAACATAGGCTGGCTGAAATGGATAAGAAATACAGGCAAGTATATGCTGTCTTCAGGAACAATCTAACCTGCAAGGATGATATAGACTAAAAGTAAAGGGTGGAGATCAGTATTCCAGCAAGTGGAAGCCAAAAGAAGGCTGGCGTGGCAGTTCTAATTTCAGACGATTTAGTTTTTAAACACAACAAAGTATGAAAGACAAAGAGGGTCATTATATAATGGTGAAGGGCACACTTCAACAAGAAAGATACAATATAAATATATATGCACCAACTTAGGTGCCACCCAGTTCTAAAGCAAACTTACTGGAGCTAGCAATGGATAATAGCAACTCCATAACACCAGAGATTTCAATACCCACTGACAGCACAAGACAGACCTTCCAAACAGAAAATTAATAAAGAAATAATGACTTAACAATCCTGGAATAACTGGGTCTGACTGACATCTACAGGACATTCTACCTCAAAATCCACTGAATATACATTCTCCTCATCAGCTCACGGGACATTCTCCAAGATTGACCATATCTAGACACAAGTAAATCTCAAGAAATTTAAAAAAATAGAAATCATACGTGTACCTTCTCCAGATCACAGTGAATAAAACAGAAATCACCCTAAAAGAAACTCCACATTTCTACATAAAAACTGGAAATTAAACAACTCTTCTAAATGATTACTTAATAAATGAAGAAATCAGATGATAAAAAATTCTATGAAGAAAATGACAATGGAGAGACAAGTTATCAAATCCTCCTTGGACACAGCTAAAGCAGTTCTGAGAGGAAAGTTTTCTCCATAAATGCCTATAACCAAAAGACAAAAGGATCACAAATAGACAATCTAACAAATGACTCAAAGAGCTGGAAAAGAAGAACAGACCAACCCAAACCAGCAGAGAAATGAAATCAACAAGACAAATCAGAACTAAAAAATTGAAAACAGGAAAGCTATTCAGAAATAATAAAAAAGTTGGTTCTTTGAAAAAATAAACAAAACTGACACACCATTGGCTAAGCTAACGAAAAGCAGAAAAGAGAAATCTCTAATAAGCTCCATCAGGAACAAAAAAGGAGATATCACAACTGATCCCAAAGAGATACAAGTTATAATTTATACAGTAATAGGGTATTGGGCAGGTGTGAGGGGGGCGGATATATACATATATAATGAGTGAGATGTGCACCATCTGGGGGATTGTCATGCTGGAGACTCAGACTTGTGGGGGGAGGGGAGGGAATGGGCATTTATTGAAACCTTAAAATCTGTACCCCCATAATATGCTGAAATAAACAAAAATAAAGAATTTTCTCAAACATTACTTTCTTTAGAAAGTCTTCCTTGATATTTTGCACCTTAATTCCTAATTTCATCTCATCATGCTCCACCATTCCTCCAGCACACATGATCTGAACTTCATTGTTTGGTTGTTTATCTTTGTTCATTTTGGGGGCACTTTATGAAGGCAGTGAATTGGTTGTGTCAGCAGAGAGTCTGCTAACTCATCAAGGTGTTCAGTTAAGCGATGATTGATCGAATGAATGGAGTGTACATACTATGTCATGTTTTCTTTTCTGGGTACTCTTAGAGCCACTTTCTCTTAGCCCATTCTCCACCATATATCAAAACTGTACCCACTTTCATTGTCCTTTTTAGGCTTCCTTCACCTCTATTTCTTTCCTGATCACTCCACTGAGAGAGAATCCGCCCAAAGAACTCTGACCACTCTTGAAGCATTTATCACATAGTATCTATTGGCAAAACTCCTCTCTGCTAGATTGTAAGCTCTTTGAGGGAATAGACTGTTTTATGCTCCTTACCTACAGTGGGTTCTCATAAAATAAATGGAGGATTGATCAGTTGGTATCATGACCACGGAAAGACCTGCAGATGGACACCTGAGCATATTAGTTTGTCTACAGTTCAGACAAGTTTAGTGTTTCCTGGTAGACTTGGTACCCACACTCAGCAGGTACTAAAGAGACCCACTGACAATGACTGTGCTGCAATCAAGGTCACAGATGTTATGATGATGATCTTAAGTACCTCAAGCTGAGCCAGCAGGAAGCAGAGATAATTCCTATCTTAGGAAGTACACACCCTGGCACCAGAGTTTACTAGAGGTAACACTGCCCCAATCCTGGCTTAATTAATAATATGATTGATATAACAGGAGGCCAATCCCAGCAAGAATAAAGTGATATGCTTACTATTAGGAACCTTTGCTTCTTTGTCATTTGCTCAGTTTAAAGTGTCAACAAGTTTCCTCTTTGCTCCCGTATAATAGAAGAGACTGTGTTTCATTAGAAACACAAGGAAGGGAAAGGAGTTTCTTCTAGGAAGAGCAGCAGCAAAGAGTTATGTGTATGTTCAAGTAGTGAATGTGGACATTCTTATATTAGGAAATATCAGTAAATAATCATACAAAAATAGAGCCAGTTGGTGTAATGGAAAGAATAGACTAAACTCAAAAGATCAGGTTTCTGGTCTTATCTCTGCCAATGGCTGAACTATAAGATAGTTTATCTCTTGGGGTGCTTATCTCAAATGTAAAGTACACAGGTGGGGCTCTAGACCTTCCAGTTCAATACTCTTTAGGAACGTTTTTATACCCAAGATTTGTTTGTGGCCAATAGCAAATAGTTAACTGGCACCAATGGTTTTATGAAGACAACTGGCAAGACATATATTTCTTGTTTTCTGGTAACTTTAAGCTCTTGTTCATTGTCACCAATAAATATGTAGTCAAGGATATATGCAGCCTGTGAGGTAAATCTATCACATGCAAGTGAGTGTTTCTCTAACAGCTGGACTGAAGGAAAACAGAGCTCAGCAACTTGGGTCCCTCTTTCCCCGCAACTTACTTACTTTGGGAGTAGAGGGGCTGTCACCATGTGGCAGCTTGCTCCTTTTATCTGGTTGGCCTGGTGTCTCAGGACATGTGAGAGGGTGGGACTCTGGAGTCTTCAAAATCTGCTCTGGACTTTCTTTATCTTTTTCCTGAGATGTGTCAAGTTCACGTCCAGAAAAGGGAGTCCTGGGTGGTGTGAGCTTTGCCTCCAAGTCCTGAGCTTCACTCTTCTCTGGAGTTTGGTTCTCTGGAGTTTGGGCCTCGCTGCTCTCTTGTGCTTCCTTCTGCCCTTCATTCTCAGTCTCTTCTTCAACACAGGAAAAGTTTAATTTCTGCCTCAGTTCTTTGTTAGTATCTTTGTCATCCATCTCAGCCAAAGAGCTTTACAACATAGGCAAGATGATCTATCAGAAGGAAACACTATGAATCTACAGGAGGAGAAAAGAATGTAACCAACAAGTTTCACAACTCTACTTTGCCTTTCCCTCTATCACCTAACAGCTATGAGACACGAGCTAATTTTCTCCCTTAAGTACCACAGATCTGTAAGACCTCAGCTTATCCATATTCCCATTCTGATTAAAGAAAACTCCAGTAACTCTTTGGGCAATTAGATCCAATTTATGTGTAGAACCTTTCTAGATACCCCACAGAGTCTCTCTGAACCCATGTACAAAATACTAGTGCAAAAATTGGATTTCTTTAATTTAGCAAGGCTTTAAAAATACTCATTAACCAATTTGGGAAGAAGCTGATTATTGGAAAGAAATTATTTTCAGCCTTTTACACCTGCCATTTATAAATATCACCCTCTTCTCCCTTCTACACCTCACACACCCAGTGGCTAGCAGCAGGTAATTAGAATTTAGCATCACCTGGCTATCATAATGATCTTTAAACAGCCTCTAACATATCTTGGCTGGAGTTCATATCCCTGATGGAGACGCACCTTTGATCTTGGCCAAACACACCTGCCCTAATTCAGGTATCCTCCCTCTCCCAGCTATTAGCAATTGCAACTTCTAGAGAATGGAACAAAAGTTTAAACTGACAAAAGAAACACTAGAAAGATCAGGCAGGCCGGGCGCAGTGGCTCACGCCTGTAATCCTAGCACTCTGGTGAGTCCGAGGCAGGAAGATCACTCAAGGTCAGGAGTTCGAAACCAGCCTGAGCAAGAGCAAGACCCTGTGTCTACTAAAACTAGAAATAAATTAATTGGCCAACTAAAAATATATAGAAAAAATTAGCTGGGCATGGTGGCACATGCCTGTTAGTCCCAGCTACTCAGGAGGCTGCGGCAGAAGGATTTCTTGAGCCCAGGAATTTGAGGTTGCTGTGAGTTAGGCTGACACCACAGCACTCCAGCCAGGGCAACAGAGTGAGACTCTGTCTCAAAAAAAAAAAAAAAAAAAGAAGAAGAAGAAGAAGATCAGCAACACAGAAAAGCAGGTAGTGGTCACTTTAAAATAGCAATTGCTTTGGGCAAAAAAAGCCTTATTTTATAAAATGCTTTTTTCTTACTGGTATCTTTAATATACATTATTTAATTTCTTTCTCAGAGAAGCCCCCATGGGAAGGGTAAAAATTTTTGGAGGAAAAAAACCCTGAACTATCATATTACCCAACAATCCCTCCTTTGGGTATATATCCAAAGGAAAAAAAATCCCTATCTCAAAGAGATATCTGTACCCCCATGTTCCTTGCAGCATTATTCACAATAGCCAAGATATGGAAACAAGCTAAGTGTCTGTCAATGGATGAATGGATTAAAAAAACAAAATTGTGGTGTATACACATGCACACACACGCATACACACACACACAATGGAATATTATTCAGCCACAAAAAAGAAATTCTGCCACTTGTGACAACATGGATGAACTTGGAGAACATTGTTAAGTGAAATAAGCCAGACACAGAAAGACAAGTACTATGTGATGTCACTTATACATGGAATCTAAAAGAATTGAATTCACAGAAGCAAAGAGTAGAAAGGTGATTACCAGGGTCTGGAGGGGTGGAGGAAATGGGGAGATGTTGGTCAAAGGGTACAATCTTCCTGTTATAATATGAATAAGTTCTGGGGAATCTAATGAACAGCATGGGTAGGCATGGATATGTTAACTTGTGATAATCATTTTACAATGGATGGATATATCAAATAAAAAGAAAAAACCCATTGATATCGTTAACTTGTGATAATCATTTTACAATGGATGGGTATATCAAATAAAAAAGAAAAAACCCATTGATATCATTTTATAAAGAAAACCATGTGAGAAGCAGCATGAAAATTGAAAATGAGGTGGAGCAACATGGCCATATAGAAACCTCCAGCGATCATCTGTCCACATGAACACCAAATTCAACAACTATTTAGCAAGCACCTTCAGAAGAACCAAAACTCAGGTGAGCAATTGTACTACCTATTCGTAACATTATATCAAGGAAACGGGCAGTGAAGAGGGCAGAAAAGATAATCTTGCACTGCCTATGCCACCTCTTACCCTTAAGCAAAGTGACTGTGGGGCTTTGCATTGTACTCAATGCCACGTTGGCACAGGGGAACACAGAATTCTGCCTATGCCCATGGAGGGAGCATTTAGACCAGCCTGGCCAGAGGGAACTCCTCTATCCCCAAACCTAAGTTCTGGCTAGCCCAACCACTGGCTGACAGAAGGTAGCCTGGGGCTTGGACTAAATTCTTAAGGCAGTCAGGCCACAAAGGCTGCAGTCCTTGCGCAATTCCTGTGGCTGTGCTGGCTGGGACCCAGAGGACCTGGGGTGCATGTGACCTAGTGAGACATCAGCAGCTGTAGGCAAGCCAGTGTGTCACCCTTCCCCCAACTACAGGTAGCTTGGCTCAGGGAGAGTCTTCTTCCATTTAAAGAAAGGGAAGAGCACAGAGGACTTTGTTTTGCTACTTGGGTAGCAGCTAAGCCACAACAAAATAAAGTACCAAGTAGACTCCTGAAGCATCTGAGTCCAGGCCTTAGTTCTTGTATGACATTTCTGGATCTATACTGGACCAAAAGAAAACATTATGCCCTGAAGGGAAGGAACCAGTTCTGGCAGGATTCTCCAGTTCTCCACCTGCTGACTAAAGAGCCACTGGGTTTTGAATAAACTTCAGAAGTAGCCCAGCCAGTGACCACAGACTTTGGGGGAGACTGGGCTGGCTTCAGGTGTGACCATGAGGGAGTGCCCACATCACTCCACTTCCAACTCCAGCAGCCCAACACAGAGAGTAAGGAAAGAAAGTGAGAGAATTTGCCAGATAATCTAAGGAATTCTCCCATATTTTATCCAAGTCCACCAAGGTAGTACCACTAGGAGTCTGCAAGAGTCATTACTAGGCTTCCGCTCCCCCCTCCCCATGCTGATACAGCTACAGTGAACACAGACTGAGATCACAACACTCAATTCCCTTTGAATACCCAGAAAACCTTCTCAAGCAGAACAGGTTCAAATAAGCTCAGACTGTGAAAATTAAAATAAATACCTAATTCTTCAATATCCAGGACAACATGACCTCACCAAACCAACTAAATAAGGTACCAGTGACCAATCCTGGAGTGATGGAGAGAGATGATCTTTCGGACAAAGAATTCAAAATAGCCATTCTGAAGAAGCTAAGTGAACTCAGGACAACACACTGAAGGAATCCAGAAGCCTATTAGAGAAATTTAACAAAGATATTGAAATTAAAAAAAAATCAAACAGAAATTCTAGAGTTTAAGAATTCAATTGACAAACTGAGAAATACATCAGCTGAATTGACCAAGCAGAAGAAAGAATTTGTGAGCATTAAGACAGGCTATTTGAAAATACACAGAAAAGAAAAAAGAATAAATGAGAATGAAGTATGCCTACAAGACCTGGGAAATAGCCTCAAAAGGGAAAATCTGGCCCAGCATGGTGGCTCACGCCTGTAATCCTAGCACCCTGGAAGGCAGAGGCAGGAGGATTGCTTGAAGTCAGGAGGTTTGAGACCAGCCTGAGCAAGAGCGAGACCCCATCTCTACTAAAAAAACATAGAACATGGACAACTAAAAATATATAGAAAAAATTAGCCGGGCATGGTGGAGTGTGCCTGTAGTCCCAGCTACTCAGGAGGCTGAGGCAGGAGAATTACTTGAGCCCAGGAGTTTGAGGTTGCTGTGAGCTAGGCTGACACCACAGCACTTTAGCTCAGGCAACAGAGTGAGACTCTGACTCAAAAAAAAAAAAAAAAAAAGGGATAATCTGGAAGTTATTGGCCTTAAAGAGAAGGTATACATAGAGAGATTGGGGTAGAAAGTCTATTCAAAGAAATAATTACAGAGAACTTTTGAAACCTAAAGAAAGATAACAATTTTCAGGTATAAAAGGTTATAGAACACCAAGTAGATTTAACCCAAACAATACTACCTCAAGGCATTTAACAATCAAGCTCCCAAAGGTCATTAATAAAGAAAAGATCCTAAAAGAAGCCAGAAAAAAGATAACAATAACGTATAAAGGAGCTCTATCTAATACATCTGGCAGCAGACTTCTCAGTGGACACGTTTCAGGCAAGGATAGAGTGGCATGACATATTCAAAGTGCTGAAAGAAAAAAAGCTTAACCCTAGAATATTATATCCTGCAAAAATATCCTTCAGACATGAAGAAGAAATACTTTCTCAGACAAACAAATTTTGCTGAGGTATTTCATCAACATCAGACCTGTACTAAAATAAATGCTAAAAAAGAGTTCTTCAATCTGAAAGAAAAGGATATTAATGAGCAGTAAGAAATCATCTGAAGGCATACAACTCACTGGTAACAGTAAGTACACAAGTAGAGAATACTCTATTGCTGTGTAATTGTGGTATATAAATCACTTATATCTTGAGAAGAAAGACTAAAAGGCAAACCTATCAAAAATAACTACCACAACTTTTTGAGAAATAGATAAATAAAAATATATGGATGGAAACACCAAAAAGTTAAGAAGTGGGAAGAGGATGGAGTTAAAGGGTAGAATTTCTTCTAGATTTCTCTTTGCTTGTTTGTAAGCATAGTTGTCATGTTTAAAATAATTGGTTATCAAATTTTTTTTGCAAGCCTCATGGTAATCTCAATTCAAGAAACATTTAAGAGATACACAAAAAATAAGAAGCAAGAAATTAAAACAAACTGTGTAGAAAATAACTTTTAACACAGGAAGACAGAAAGGAAGGAAGAAAGAAAGAGAAGACCACAAAACAACCAGAAATCAAATAACAACATGGCAGTAGTAAGTCCTTACTTAACAATAATAACAATGGATGTCAATGGAATAAACTTTGCAATCAAAGACAAAGAATGGCTGAATGGATTTTTTAAAAAAGAGCCAACTATTCTATGCTGTCTGTGAGAAACCTACTTTATCTATAAAGATATACATGGACTAAAATAAAGAGATAGAAAAAGATATTCCATGCAAATGGAAACCAAAAAAAGGGCAGGAGTAGCTATACTTCCATTAGATGAAATAGATTATAAGACAAACACTGTAAAAAGAGACAAAGAAGGTTATTACATAATGATAAAATGGTCAATTCAGTAAGAAGATATAACAATTATAAATACATATACACCAGCAATGGAGCACCCAGACAAACACAGAAAATATCATCAGAGTCAAAAAGAGAGACAGATGCCAATACAATAATTGTTGGAGACCTCAATACTCCACTTTCTACATTGGACACATCATCCAGAAAATCAACAATGAAACATTAGACTTAATCTGCATGATAGACCA